GATAGAAATCAATGATGAAAGAGAATCATTGATCAACTGCCTCTTGTACACTCTGCACTGGGGATTGAGCCTGCAACCTGGGCGTGTGCCCTGACTGGGAATCGAACTGTGACCTCCTGGTTCATAGGTCAATGCTCAACCACTGAGCCACGCTGGCTGGGTATAGCTATAATTTTAGTAAACATTGGTTCTATTACAATACAGAATGTGTTTTTGTTTTTTAATACAATTTTAGTAATTTTGATTCTTGTTTTTTATTTGTTCCCCCCCCCAATAGCCATTAATAAGATACAAATATTATATACTTAACAAAAAAAAAAGCTTTATATTGCATTCATTATTCTATTGTCCTTTTTGAACCACATTTGGCTTTATTTTACATTATTCTATTTGGTGTTTTTCTCTCTGCAGAGCACTTCCAGCCCTTCTTGATTCAGACGAGGTTAGTAATCAAATCACGTGCAAAAAAATATGGGTCTAGTGACTTATTAGGGAGTCATAAGTTCTTTGTTCAGGGAGATTTTATTTGACTCAGTAAGAGTATCATTGAAAAGGATGAGAACAGAAATACTAACATTAGAACTCAAATATTCAGGAGGGTTTACTTTCTGTATATGTCCTCCTTTTCCAAAGTTTTATGGTCAGACTTGAGAATGTCTTTAATTTGGGTAGCAAATAACTAAAAAAAGTATAATTTCTTTACTGTCCCACTTTCTACTTCCTTTGTCTTTAAGAAATTCAGTTTTAACCCTTACTTAATTTAGGAAAAAATAATAAAAGGGTTGAGAAAGGAATATCATAGACCAAAGGAACATATAAATTATTTTAAGTTACCTATTATTCATTATTGTCTATGCAACTATCTCTTTCATATATTAAGGATTATAATTAGTACCTCTGATATTTATTTTTTAAAATATATTTTCATTAATTTCAGAAAGGAAGGGAGAGGGAGAGAGAGACTGAAACATCAATGATAAGAGAGAATCATTGATCAGCTGCCTCCTACATGCTCCCTACAAGGGATGGAGCCTGCAACCTGGCCATGTGCACTGACTGGGAATCGAACCGTGACTTCCTGGTTAATAGGTCTATGCTCAACTACTGAGCCACACCAGCTGGGCTTATGTTGATTTTTAATCTTAATATGCTCCCATACAGTTCATCTGAAAGGCTTCACAATAATTGCCTGAGTTAATGGGAACTAGTTCTGGACATGTTCTGAATATTGGGTTAGAGTCTCTTGGTTTTAGGAAGCCTTTTGAGCACACCAAAAAATTATGGTCAAGAACAAATAAAATGACCATCTTAACGAGTCTCAAATGCAAAGTGTTAACTATATGTGCATTCTTGGGCAACAGATCTCTAGAACTTTTTATCAATATAATTTTAGTGAGTATAATTTCTTTATAAGGATATACCATAGTTTGTACAATTCTGTGTTTTTGAACACTTAATTTTTTCTAGTATTTTATTCTGAGTGTTGCATTAGAAATTCTTGTGACTAAATCTTTGCCTATATCCCTATTTCTAATTCAGTTAAATTCCTGAATTAGAGGAGGTACACATTTTTATTAAAGCTGAATCTTAAGTAAATTGTTGTTTTATCATCTTATTTGACTCTAAAACATGCAATTCCTTTTGATTTGTTGTTTGATATACAGAGGCCTAGAGATTTTGATTTGGTTAATCTTGTGTGGGGCCTGGACATGTCTATCTTTCAAAATCTTCATAAATGATTAGGAATCATCTCTCCTAAGTATTTAATGAACATAAACAAGTACTTGCAGGAAATGCCTGTGTGCCTCATCTATATAGAAGATATTTGGAATGTAGGCCATTTAAAATTAATGTATTTTGAACAAACCTTTTTATTTTTTTCCCTAGGAACGAATGATCACACACTTTGAAAGATCCAAAATGGAGTAAAGAGTGGGAAGATGTGTAGTTGAAGATGCTAGTATCTGGGAAGAGATCATCTTCTGTCAATCATCTGCACTGCTCCATGGATTGAAGGAGGCAATGACATCCTGATCTGTTCCTTGATCTTTGTGCTTTGGAGCTGGCGAGAGGTGTCAGAACTAGAACATCTTATGAATGATGTTCATAGGATGAAAAAATTCTGCAAGTTTCTTATTTACAACATTGATGCCCCATTCCCTCCCACACCCTCACATGGATGTTGATGCAACTTATGTGTGTTCTTCCTGAACCTTCTATGATGTTTAAATTGTTTAATCTGTCAAACTAAAAAGTTCAACATCTTTTAAAAAATGTGACATCACCACCATAACATGTAATCTCCAGGAGCAACTGCCTGCGATTTTTATTTATTTAGGGAGTTACATAGGTGATGGGGAAATTGTTAATTATCTTTCCGTTTCCTGGGAAGCCAAGGTTACATCTTGAAGAGGTAGTTTTGAGGAAAAAAGTCCTTATGACTTGAGCCATGGTTCTACCAATAATTAAAAGAAAGGAAAAAAAAAAAGAGAGCGAGGGAGAGAAAGAAACTGTTACAGTGTAATCCAGATAATTTTAAAAAGCAAAATCAAGTGCAATTTTGTTTACAAATGGTATATATTAAAGATTTTTCTATTTCAGATGTACTTTAGAGAAAAATATTAGCTTAACTCTTTTGACATCTGCTATTGTGACACATCCCATTGCTGGCAATGTGGTGCACACTCCAGAACTTTTAACTACTGTTTTGTAAGCCTCAAGGCAACATTGCAGACTCCAGACATTGCTTTGTTTGCCTTCATTTACTGGGTGTTGCACTAGATGCAGAGAGGCACGCCATCTAAGTGCTTGTGAATGAGCACCCTGTTAAAAACTCTGATTCTTCAGAAGCAGGAGCCAATACAAAGGAAACAGGTCCTTCTGGTTTAAGTTTTGCTGCATGAAGTAGTATGGAAACCCTGGACTGCTGCTCATTCTTTAGGGTAAACGGTTCTTGTATCTGGTGTTGGTTTAGAGACTGTTTATAAGAGACATCACAAGGTGATGGGATTCATTTGAAGCACTCTATTTCTGTTTTAATGGTTTTGTCTACTTTTGCCTTCCAAGAGTTTTGTTCTACATAGAAAGTTCATGCCGTTTTTTAATATAAAAAATTTTAACAAAATTAATGTGTGTTTTCTGTGTCTTTTTTTTTTTTTTTTTTTTACTTTATCTAAAACCCTTCTTTCTCCCATACTCTCATGGGAATTTTCCTTCCATGATTTTTATTCTATATCGCCTTCTTATCTGTTGAAACCAATAACCACATGACCACAATCTTCACTAATTAATACTATAGTAAAAGTGTTTACATTTATGTAACATTTCTCTACAGCTGTTTGTGGTGTGTGTGTGTGTGTGTGTGTGTGTGTGTGTGTGTGTTTAAAATATATTTTTATTGATTTCAGAGAAGAAGGGAGAGGGGAGAGAGATAGAAACATCTGTGATGAGAGAATCACTGATTGGCTGTCTCCTGCACGCCCCCTACTGGGGATCGAATCTGAAACCCCGGCATTTGCCCTTGACCAGAATTAAACCCGGGACCCTTCATTCCACAGGCCAACATTCCTAGGGCTGTGTGTGTGTGTGTGTGTGTTTAAATCACTAAGGCAATACCTCTAAGGAACCATATGAGAAATTGACTATATTCTTAGATTAACCCATTACAAAGGGCTGATATAATTGTCATATGCTTCTGTTCTTCCATACTAAAACTTAGCAAGTGAATAATAGTCGTAATAGTCAGGATAGTTGGTCAAATGTTTTTTGAGGCTGGTTAGATGTCGACTTGAGACCAGGAAAAAACCCCCACAAAACTATTGTGATAAGCAGAAGTTTATAGATGTAGCCTGGGACCTGATAATTCTTTTTCTATGGCTTCTTATGTGATTGTATATAGTGTGTCGTCTTTTTAAGAAGGCGTTCAGAAGGAATTTATAGTATTACACTGACCTGTTACCTTATAGTTTGCATTGTTTATTTTAGTCTTAGCCCTTGGTCCTGGAACTACAGGTATTATTAGGCTTCCTTCCAGTAGAGCAGCTGGCAATTATAAATTTTCAAGGAGTTCAGTTTCTATGGTAAAAATCAGACAACATAAGGTTTGTTTAGCATTTTTTTTGTTTCTTACTACTTGAAAATATTTGATGATCAGAAATAGCATTTGATAAAGATCAGACAGTATTCCTAATTTACAATGAAGAAACTGAGATTGTGTAAAATTAAAATGACCAAGCCATCTTTAACTCATCATAGACTCACGCTTTTTTTCTTTCACATTTTTGCTTTAAACCAAATGCTTAATTTTATGACATGCTGTTTTCTTGGGGGTAAATTGCTAGATACTGGTCATTGCAGTGCTTCTCAAACTTTCAAGTGCATGGGCTCACCTTGGGAATCTATTAGACTACTGGGCGCCCCCTCCTCCATCCTGCCACTCTTCAGAGTTTCTGATTGAGTAGGGCAGGAATGAAGCCTGAGACTGCATTTCTAACAAGTTCCCAAATGCTGCCAGTCTAGGGACCACCCTTTGAGAACCACTTGCTTGGAACACCTTTAAAATGTAAGGGTAAGGCTGTGATGATAATGGTAATACTAAAACGATCAGTTATTGAGTCAAGCATTGCTAGGAGCTCACAGCGCTAGGTAGGTACATAAAGTCATCGTTTTGCACATTAAGGAAATTTAAGTCCTTGGGAGATTAAATTTTTTAAATGTCACAGCCCGTTTCCTAAATGGCAGATCTCCGTCCCAGGTCTGACGCCAAAGCCCGAATTCTATACTTCCTAACCCTGTACTTCCACCACCACACCATACTTCCTAACACAGTTCTAAGATTCCATCATTTCCCCTCCTTGTTAAGCCCATGGCTACTCCACAATGGAGAAGCTCTAGGCCTAGGGTGAAAGGGGAACCCAAGCATTGGTGCATTCCTTGAAGGTGATTTAAGAGCTAGGGCGGAAGGGGCGGGCTCCGGCTGCGGAAGGGGTGGGCTTAGGCCGGCAGGAAGTCCGGTGTTGGTGATGGCTCTGCTGCTGGAAGGCCTGTAGTTGGGGTCTCCGGCCAGGTTCTGCTCGGCCCTTTCCTCAGAGCGGTTCTGTTCCCGGCCCGGCCCGGCCCTCTCAGAGTGAGGCTGTCCCGGCGACTCTGCTCGCCGCCATGCACGACGCCTTCGAGCCGGTGCCGATCCTAGAAAAGCTGCCTCTGCAGATCGACTGTCTGGCTGCCTGGGGTGAGTCGGAGGACCGAGGGGCCGAGGCGGGGGCCCCGGCAGCGCGGGAGCGGCGCGGACCCTTCACAAGCCTGGGGAAGTGGACGGGCGTCTTGCGGTGCGCGCTCCGGTCGGACGCCGTCCGAAAGGGAGCTGCGATGAAGGCGTGCAGAGCATTGTAGACAGCGAGGGCTCTTAGGACCATCCCCTGGGATCCAAGCATTGTAGGGACGTGCTCTTGGTGCAGAGTTGGAGGTTGAGCTTTCCTTAATTGTGCTCAGCTTTGGCTTATTTCGATTCCCAAGAAGTCTTTAGTGTGGAGGCACAAGCAGTGGGAAGCTTTCAGCCTGCCAGGAACTTGAGCTTATCTGATGATTGTGTTGTACTGGTTTGGGGGGAATAAGAGGGGTGTGTGGGGGGGATGAAGAGGAGGGGGGTTGGAACAAGTTAACAGCATATGCCATTTTCATTAGTGATCATTCATTGTTCACTTCTCATTATTGTAGGTAACTCACGTTGCTATTTAAACTCTTAATCTAGCCCAGCGATTTTCAACCAGTGTGCCACAAGAATTTGTAAAATATGCACTACCTGACTATTTAGTCAAGGGCACTGACCTCTTTTCCCTTAGATTGTAAAAAATTAAAAAAATAAATGAGAACAGCCAGCACAACAATAACTGTCCCGAGTGAATGAATAAAAATTGTACCCATTTTTGGTCAGATCAGCAAAAATAACCAACAGTTTTTGGTGTGCTGCAGAATTTTAGTAATTAGTTTGTGTGCCATGAGATGAAGAGGGTTGAAAATCGCCGATCTAGTCAAATGGTTCATTGCCTTATATTCAAGTGCCCAAGTTACCTTAACTCTGTAGGTAGAACACCATCATTCCAGGCTGTCATGAAATTTAACCCATAAAAACCGACATAAGCCTCTTGGGAGTGGCCAGTACAGAAAACAGGGTCAGACAGCTCTTATCTCTTGTATACTGTGGAATAAAAAAGGTTTCAGCGGTCTAAACTTGGACTCTTAACTGTGAACATTATGACTGGTTGTGTCTAACAGCCCCCAAAGACCAAACTGAAATAATTCCAGTTTTTCCTGTTAATGTCCAGGTAAGAAATCAAGGACTATAAAAAGGTAGCTCAGAACCCTTAATCAGGTCTTATACTGAGGGCCTGGTAGGAATCTCAGTGGTGGCTGGCATTTTATGCATCATCTTATGGACAGCGCCACCCAGTCAGCCTTGCCCGTGATGGGCCTGGTGGAGTCTTGGTGGTGGCTGGCATCTTATGCATCATCTGTGGACAGTCCCACCCAGTCAGCTTTGCAGAGTTCTTCACAGCCTCTTCAGTAGGGTGCGTTCACTACAGATTTTCATGTTAATGTACACCCCTCCTGCCTTAGCAGCCCTGGGCCTCTTTAAAATCGCATCTCCATAGTAAGCAGTCCTCGTCCTTTGGGTTAAGGAGAGAATCCTGCTTCCTCCAGATATCTCAAGAAGGCCTCCATTTTCTGTCATTAAGTGCTCTCAGTAAGAATTTAAAACTTTAAAAATGAAAGACCTGACATTGCACAAAGGGATTCATTCCCCTATTTCTTCATCAAATATGTATTAAGTACCCACTTAGACCCGCCTCTCTGCTAGGGACAGGAATAAGGATGAGTAAGACACAGTGCCGGTGCTTCTGGGACACACAGTGGGGGACAAAGACATAAAGCAGATTATGGTACGAGACAAATGATAACAGAGTCATATGCTGCCTATTAGGAAAACATGGAGGACGGGTACCCAACCCTGCCTAGGACTTGTGCTTCTGAAAAGGATGGGTGTAGTTGCTTACCACACTCTACTTCATTTGTCACAGTTTGACCCGGATACCCTGTGGAACTAGTAGTAAACATATCTCAGCCTCTCTCACCAACAACACTTTGTCACAGTAAGGATTCCCTCCCTGTACCTGTGCTTTTCAGGAAGACAGGCTTGAAATGGTAGGTAGCTTTGGACCTGCCTTGATCTTCCACCAAACAGGAGATATGCCTGTTGCCTACTAGGATGTTGTGGTAGGTATTGGGGCTACAAGAGGCCATTTACCGCCTCTTGCTTTATTTTCAGGCTTTAGCAGCAATCAGTATTACTCTTTCTAGTTGCTGCCCCTTTTACCTGATGTTCATCCAGGAACTTGCAGGACCAGACAGTATTTGAGCTGGATGATAATCTCTCTTCAGAAATGGAAATAAGGAGGGCACTGATGATGATGACCTCTCTAAACTCCAGAGTTGTAGAATCCAGCTGCCTTTTAAGCATCTTCATTTTGGGTGTCTAGTAACATGGCCAGAAAATTCTTGATGATTACACTCTCCCAAAGCATGCCTTTCCCTCATACCATATCTCAGCAAATGTCATTTCTGTTTACTCATTTGGCTAAGGCCAAAAGCCTTGGAATCATTCTTGACTTCTCCTTTTCTCTTATACACCACATTCATTCCATTAGCAATCTTGTCTGCTCCTCCTCCAGAATAAATCTAGATCCCAGTCATTTCTTTCCATCTCCACTTTTTCTACTCTTGATGAGGTCACCATCCTCTCTCATCTAAATTACTATAGTAGTCTTCTGACTGATCACCTGTGTTTGCCATTGTGCCATTTTCAGTTTTTTATCCACACAGAGTGATCTTTCAAAAACTTAATTACATCTCTTCTCTGCTCAAAATCCTTCAGTAGCTTCCCATCACGATTAGAATAAGTTCCAAAGTCCTTACCATGGCTGGCTATGCCTGAGAGGGTCAGGCCTCTGGTTTTACTTCCTGACTTTATCTCCTAGGCTCTTATCCCTGAACCTGTCTGGCACTAGTCACACACACTGTCTTTCTTGTTCCATGAACAAACATGGCACATACCTCCTCCAGGGCCTTGGCACTCACTGTTTCCTCTGCCTGGCACTCTCTTGCCTTAGATATTTCATGGCTCATTCCTCATTTCATTCAAGTTTCCGCTGAAATGTCACATAAATCAGCAAGACCTTCCCTAACTATTCTGTATTAAAGAGAATGCTATATCCACCATTGTGCTATTCTCTTTTTCAGTCTTATCATTCCTTCCATCAAGGGTTGTCATCTAATGCTATCCTATATAATAAAGAGCTAATATGCAAATGATCGCCACGCCCTCCCGCTGGGGCCAGGGGACCTGAGGCCAGGCCTGGGGACCTGAGGCCTCGTCCCTTGCCCTGGCGCTGGGGCCGGAGGACCTGAGGCCAGGCTGGGGAACCTGAGGCTGTGCCTCCCGACCCGGCGCCTGGGTCGGGGGACCTGAGGCTGTGCCAGGGGACCTGAGGCCGTACCCCCAGCCTGGCACAAGGCTGGGGGACCTGAGGCCGCAACCCCCCACCCAGCGGGGCTTGACGGGGGACCTGAGGCCGCAACCCCCGCCCTGCAGGGCTTGATGGGGGTCGGGCCAGCCGGGTCTCGCGAGATTTCGAGGTGCGCATGTGTGGGTAGGGACTTGACTCTGGGTCCTGCAGCACACCCCAGACTCTGACAGGATGGGATATTTTCATATACATTTTACTAATTTTCTTTCATCTCTGACACTTCTATTATAGAGAAAGGGCAAATAGCAATATTAAAATATTTCCTCTAATTAACTCCCTTTTAATGTGCACGAATTTTGTGCACCAGGCCACTAGTTTTATATATTATTATTGTCTCTCTCCATATTAGAATATAAATTTCTTCAAGAGTAGGAACTTTTGTCTTGTATATCCCCTTTATTTGCAGTGTCTAAAACAGTTCCAAAGTCTTAATGGGTATCCATTAAGTATTTGTTTAATTAATGAATAATAATATTAATGGTAATAGCTTCCACTTATTGAATGCTAATCTATTGAGCTTTTATAAATAATAACTCCATTTTGCAGAGGAAGAACCTGAGAATTTAAGTAATTTATTTAAGATCATATATATAGTAAATTATGGCTGATTCTACAGCCTGGCTCCCAAACTTTAATGCATAGTCAGAGCCTGTAAAAAAAAAAGCAGATGTGTATGTGTGTATCTGTATGTGCATATACACAATCATATTTGCTTATATTATCCAAAGAAACAATGGAAAAATAAATCACAAACTACTAAAATGTTTACCTATAGTGGAAGGGAGAGAACAGTAGAGTAGATAAGGATGGAAGCTAGATTTCTTAGTTTTAACTTTGGAACTACATACATGTCTAATGTAATAAAATGAAATTTAAAAATACAAATTTCAGGGCACTCACCACTGCAGAATCATTGATGCGGGATCTCTGGAAGCAGGGCTCAGGAGTGTGCATTTTTTTTTTAAATATATTTTATTGATTTTTTACAGAGAGGAAGGGAGAGAGAGAGTCAGAAACATCGATGAGAGAGAAACACCGATCAGCTGCCTCCTGCACATCTCCCACTGGGGATGTGCCCGAAACCCAGGTACATGCCCTTGACCTGAATCGAACCTGGGACCCTTCAGTCCGTAGGCCGACGCTCCATCCACTGAGCCAAACCGGTTTCGGCAGGAGTGTGCATTTTTAATAGGTCCAAGTGATTCTGATGTGGCTAAACAGGGGCTTATGCTTTCAGAAACACTGTTCTTTGCCCTATGACCTAGTGAAGGGAAGTGACCACCAGCTTATTCCCTGCAGTGGCCAGCATTGGGCCAGGAATGGAATTGTTAATTACATGAGGTTGGACTGGGTTGTACTGCTGGACAAATCTTCAATAGGGTAATTATGAGCAAGAAGGGCCAGCCTTACTCACTTCCCAGGAGGGATCAAGTCCAACCTTGTGTCTCAGAATTAGGCTGTCAGGAATTTTCTAGGGTTCAGTATCACCTGTTTATGGATGTGTTACTTGTTTGTGTAGTGCGTTCCACTTTCTCATGTGCAGTGTTGCATCTCAGAATGGACTGTTTGCCCTGTGCTGTGCTTGCTCTGCAGGCTCTTTGTTCTCTGTGTTTTGCATGTACAGCTGTGTTAGATGGCGACATGTCAATAGAACGTGAAGGCCCAATGTGGCTCAGGTCCTCTGGCCACCCGAGTCCCCACTGACTTCTGTAACCAAATCAAGCCTCTTCGAGGTTCTGTGCTGTTATTACATTTTCCTTATGACTTTGAGGATTAGGGATGAGTATGTGTATGGTGCTTTTACTATTTAAAGGAAGTTACAGTACTTATAAGATGAAGGTATTTTTCCATAACACCTCCAAATGAAAAAACTTAAAAGGTTAAATAAAATTCCAATTACAAAATTTAAAAACAGCCCTGGCTGGTGTGACTCAGTTGGTTGGCATTGTCCCATGCACTAGAAGATTGCTGGTTCAATTCCCTGCCAGGTCATATGCCGGGATTGTGAGCTCCATCCCAGGTGGGGGGTGTGTAGGAAGCAGCTGATCAGTGTTTCTCTCTCATAAATGTTTCTCTCTCCATCTCCCTCCCCCCATCTCTCAAATCAATAAAGACATATTAAAATTTAAAAAAAAATTTTTAATGAACTTATTAGACTCCTTTTGGTGACCAGTAGAGTAGGCATTTGATAAGAACCATCTATTGGCAAATAAATATTTAAAAAAAAATGGAAAATGGGCTCTCAAATAGCATGCTTATGAGTTTGACTTCATATTGCAGTGGTGCAGCTTCATGAGAATTTAAGCCCCAGTGGAACAGCATCAGAGATCTGCTGTAAAGTAACCCACAAAGAAGAACATGTGGAGTGAGACCAGTTGAGGCTGTCACAGGGGTCCCTGGAGAGATGATGAGAGAGGGCTGTTGGGAGGTACCCTGTAGAGAGAGCATGATAGGCCTCGCAGACCCGGTGGAAGGTGAGGCTGTTAAAAGAGAGAAAGAAAAACGGGAACTGGCAGGGGTTGGGGGGCATAGTGAAGAGGAGAGATTATGTTGGCCTTTTCGTTATAGATATGTATGTATGCCATAAGAGAATTTTTTTTAAATTTCACACTTCATTTTATTTATATTTGAAATATCAATGGGTTTCTTAAAAATCAACTTTAATATTACCAGTTGCTCACACAGTGATATCTAAACATTATCTTTTACAAAGCAAGCACTGTAAGCTGAATTATTTTTCTATGCTCTGTTCCAACATAAATCTCTAGCATTCCATTAGAACTAGTGTTATTTCTGATTTCGACTTATGTTATTAAGAGCACACCGTGTCTGCCCAGCCAGCTTGGCTCGGTGGTTGAGCATAGACCTATGAACCAAGAAGTCACGGTTCAATTCCTGCTCAGCGCACATGCCTGGGTTGCAGGCTTGATCCCCAGTATGAGGTGTGCAGGAGGCAGCCAATCAATGATTCTCTCTAATCATTGATGTTTCTATCTCTTCTCCTCCCTTCCTCTCTGAAATCAATGAAAATATTTTTAAAAAATAAATAAAATGCACAATAAAAGAAGACAGAATCACTTTCTTTTTCTGGAAGACTAAGGATATCAACCTGGAAGATGTTCCTGAGGTAGCTCCTGACTCGTTTTTATAAATATGACCACTGCCTTCCAGACCACCTCTGGCCAACACCCAGTCTTTTGATGTGAGACGCCTTATTAAGTGCATCACAGCATGTGGTTAGGTCCTGACTCACATGCATATCTTACTACATGTGTGACTCTGGGCAAATTCTTGTCCCCAAGGCCTCAACTCCCTCACCTATAAAATGGGGATTTATAAAAAGGACATATTTCAAAGGATAGTTGTGAGGGTTCATGAAATAACATTAATTATATGTGCTTAGTATTTTCTGGAATACAGTGCATGCTCAGTCTATTTGTACCATTATCCATATTTTATTTTACAAAGGAGCAAGAGAGTGTATGACTGATTTCTGTTACAAGATCAGAAAGCTGAGGAAGTATCTGTATGTGCTTAGCTTCTCTTAATGAGTTAATGTGGATCTGTCAGGTAATTATTTAAACACTTTCAGAGCCTCTTTAGTTGTACTGTAGACCACTGTCTCCCAAAATGAGGCCCCTGAACCAACAGCATCACCTGGAACTTCTTAGAAATGCAAGTTCCAGGGCCCATTTCCAGACCTATTGAACAGGAAGCAGGTCGGCCCAGCAGTCTGTTTTCACAAAGCCTCACATGATTCTGATACACACCAACGTTTTAGAACCATGGGCTTTGACCATCTTTTTTTTTTTTTAAACAAGAGCTTTATTGAAATGTAATTCACATACCATACAACTCACCCATTTAAAATGTACAATTCAGTGGTTTTTAGTATGTTCACAGAATTGTGCAAGTATTGCCACAGCCGATTTTAAAACATTTTCATTACCCTAAAAAAAACCTCCGAACCCATAGTATTCATTCCGCATTCCCCCCCAAGCCCACCAGTCCTAGGCCACCACTAATCTTTCTGTCTCCATAGATTTGCCTAATTCTGGACATTTCTTATAAATAGAATCATACAATATGTAGCCCTTTTTGTCTGGCTTCTTTCATTAGCATAATGTCCAGTTCATCCCTGGTATAGATGTATCAGCACTTCATTTCTTAATTTCCATTGTATGGATATGCCACATTTTGTTTATCTCTCCATCAGGTGATTGACATTTGGGTTGTTTCCACCTTTTGGCTATTACAAATGATGCTACTATGGAACATTTGTGTAAAAGTTTTTGTGTAGATGTTTGTTTTCATTTCTCTTATTTATATGCCCAGGGGTGGAATTGTGAGGTCATATCGTTATTCTTTGTTTAATCTTTTGAGGAACTGCCAGACTGTTTTCCAAAGTGACTGCACCATTTTATATTCCTGCTAAGAATGTATGAGGGTTCCAATTTATTCCCATCTTCATCAACACGTTATTACCAACTAGACCATCTTTTGAGATAACGAATTCTGTAACCTTAATATACTATGGCACTTCTTATTTCCCCAAAGGTTAACTCATTAAACTTTCAAAGGATGCCTTTTAGCTGTCATTTCTGAGATGAGATACTTAGTTTCATGTTTATGTTATCCATTTTAGGATTTTATAAACTTCCATGATGTTTTAGGGCAGTTTAATTTAGAAACAGTGAAGCCAGGGGCATTTTTTTCTTCTTTAATATGTCTAGTCTGGTAATTGTTGAATAAATACTTTTTTTGACTGGTTGATTCTCAAATAGTTCTTGACTATAAACATTCTTTAGCTTTGCAAACACCTGCTGTCAAAAAACCCACAACTCACTTTCTTGACCCTTTGATTCGGATTACCACCCCCAGATAAGAAAACAGGATCTGACAAAAGCTGACTGATGTTTCTCATTTCATTTCTTAATGAAAAGCTCTATTCTTTTCCAGAGGAATGGCTTCTTGTTGGAACCAAACAAGGACATCTTCTCCTCTACAGGATTCGGAAGGATGTTGGTAAGTGGCAACTTTCCAGAACTGGGGATATACCCGCAACCAAGGTACATGCCCTTGACTGGGATCGAACCCGGGACCCTTCGGTCTGCAGGCCGACGCTCTATCCACTGAGCCAAACCAGTCAGGGCTCATTTCATTTCTTAATGAAAAGCTCTTTTCTTTTCCAGAGGAATGGCTTCTTGTTGGAACCAAACAAGGACATCTTCTCCTCTACAGGATTCGGAAGGATGTTGGTAAGTGGCAACTTTCCAGAACTGGAAAGAAATGGCTTACTATCCATGCAAAAAAATAAAAATAAAAAGTTTTGATAGTTGGCTAATGTACAACTGTAAAATCAGTGATTTCTGGACCATTAAAAGAGTGGGTGGGGATTGGGAGTAGCACTGTGGGAAAGTGGGGAGAATCGTGTGAGAATCTCCAGGGTTTTTAAAAAAATTTTCAGACCATATGCCCCTGTGTCCATGGGGATGGCGAGGCCGAGAGTAGGGGGGTTAGATGTTCCCCCTTCCTTATTTTTTGGAGACTTCCTGCGAGAATTAAGAAATGTTATGTTGGGAAATAAGATGTTTCTGTAAATGATGTGGTAGTAGGAAAAAAATTATGAACCTTTGATTTAAAAGACCTTATTGATTATGAGGGGTAAACTAGGAGAAAAAGGATCTAGGTTTGAGTCCAGCTTTATTTCTGTTTGGCTACTTGACTGAGTAGGGCCTTTCCAATGTCATTTTTCCCTTCCATAAACTGTCAGTTTTTATCACAAACTTGTTGGGGTCAGATTCAATAAAATGTTTGAAAGAACTTAAAAAACTAAAGTTCTAATTAAATGTGACTTAGAATAGTAACTAAAAAGTATGTAGAATTTATTCTGTTAGAGGATCCTTTAACAGAAAAAAAAAGTATTTCATTTCCTTTTCCTAATTTTATTTCTCTGCTCTCTTTATGGAAAATCGTTATGTTTGGATATTATGCCCTGGAGCTTCAGGTCTGTAGAAATCTGCTGTTAATGCCACAGTAGGTTGAACCCTATGAAATTGTCATTATTCAGCCATATTAGAAAAAAAAATTTCATAGCTTTCAACCTGATAAATAACTTTCTATAGTAAATAACTTAAGGAAACATGGAAATGGAGCCTTCTCTTTAGAACCTAGAGCAAAGGTAACATAGAGGAAAAAGAACATCTTACTAGTATAGGGAAAGAGAAAAATTATTTCCCCTCTATTCATTTTAGGTTCATTGGCTAAAGACCTGTAAATCAGACGGACAAAGGACAGATTAACAAGAGGAAAACAAGTGGTTTATTAACTTGTGCATTTTATGTACACATGCGAGCACTCAGAGATGAATAAGGCAAAGGGGTGATTCGAACTTGGGCCTTTGTATCATCCTAACAAGCAAGCAACAAATTTGTAGAGAAGTGACCAGATAAAGGAAAAGGACTTGTGAGTTTCTAGAGTGGCAAATTGTGGGAAAGCAAATATATGGAGATAAGTTTGCTATGTGGATTTCTCTGCTGCCATCTCTGGGCTGATAAGGGTCTTGAGTTGTTTCCAGTGATTAAATTCTGTCCTTCCTGATAGAAAGGGGAGAGACAGCTTTGCAAATTTATGTCGTGCTTTTAGGCAAGTAGTAGAGCAGAGAGAGCTTTTTATTTTTTTGTTTGTTTTTTGTTTTTGTTTTTATTGATTTTAGAGGGAGAGGAAGGGAGAGGGAGAGAGAGAGTGAGATATTGATGAGAGAAACATCTATCAACTACCTCCTGCATGCTTCCTACTAGGGATCGAGCCTGCAACCCAGGCATACACCCTGGCCAGGAATCGAACCGGCACCCTCTCAGTGCATGGGGTGACACTCAGCCAACTGAGCCATATCAGCCAGGGCAGAGAGGTTATCTTAGATCTGCTTCTTCTTAGTTGCCTTCAGCTCAAAATAATTCTTAAGCCAAAGTAGCATATTTGGGGTGGCATATTCGTCTACCCTTCACTGGTGCAGTAGGAAGAGGAAGGCACCTGCTGTGGTGCAGTGAGAAGAGAAACCAGAAGTTCAAAACAGAGGGTTTATTTCATTTCTAAGTGTTTCAACTTTCTTTTCAATCAGCAAACTTGTTCCAAAAAGGACCAAGTAGGAAATATTTTAGGCCTTGCAGGCCATAAGATCTCTGTTGTGACCACTCAACTCTGCCATTGTAGCAAAAAGGTAGCCACAGGCAATAGGTAAAAGAAAGGGCATGGCTATGTTCCAATAAAACTTTATTTACAAAAACATGTCAAAGGCTGGATTTGACCCAGGGGCAGTACTTTGCTGGCCCTTGCTATAAATTTTTAGTTTTCAGAGCCAGAATATTTGCATTCTGTGACATCTACCCAGTCTATAATTTGAAAATTAAGCTTGCCTTGGATTTTATTCAGCATTCAACAGCTGTGTTTTGACTCTACTTTGGGCTCAGATACTGTTCAGAACAAGGAGATAAGAGCCTAATATTCTTTTTCCCTAATAGATAATTAGTTCTTTGTACCATCAAATACTAAGTACTACAATAAAGCCACTTGTTTGTATAAGTGGTGAGGAATTGACAACTAGACTATCAAAATAAATCTTTCAACATAATATGGACTCAAACTGATAATATTTGTGTTAATCTGATGGTGACTGTTCCTTGTCCTGTGATCAATTCACCATGTGCCCTTTGACAAGTTAATCTTCCTAGGCCTCAATTTTCCCATAGGCAATTTGAATAGCAATGTTAGCCTACCTTAGACTATTAGGAAATCAAACTGATTAGAAACTTTTCTTCTTCCTATACCCATATAGAGCAGTTCAGTTCTGGCCTAGCTCTGGTCTGCTTAAGGGCCAGAAATAGGCCTGGGCCTCCGTGAATCAGCCATAGAACTAACTTGGTTTCTCAACTTGAGATATAAAGCTGGAGAGGTCTGCAACTAGACTGTCTTTCTGAGGAAAGGGAGTTGGTAACAAGGTATCATCCGGTATTAAGGGAACTGGGTTCTGATCTGACCTGAGCCATCTCCTTTAGCTCAAAAAGTCCCTAGGCCTCGTTCTACTCATATCTTAAACAAAGGGGCTAGATTAGTTCACATCTAAGGTCTTAACGACGTTAGGTTTGCTTCAGTGGTGCTGTCTGCCCTAGAGCAGTGCTTCTCACAGTGTGGTCCCCAGGTCCTTTCAGAGGATCCACAAGGTCAAAACCAAGTTCACAGTAACACTAAAAGATTATTGTTTTTTTCACTAACAGTTATTGACATTTGCACCAATGATACAAAAGTAACGGTAGCTAAAACTGCTGACCCCAACCCCACGGGCGTGACTCAGTGATTGAACGGGGAACTATGAACCAGGAGGTCAGGGTTCGATTCCTGGTCAGGACACATGCTCGGGCTGCAGGCTCGATCCCCAGTAGGGGGCTTGCTGGAGGCAGCTGATGAATGATTCTCTCTTATCATTGATGTTTCTATTTCTCTCTTCCTCCCCTTTCCTCTCTGAAATCAATAAAAATATTTAAAAAAATAAAATAAAACTGCTGGCCCCTTAGCACAAGTTCAAGACAGTGGTCAACAAACTTGTTGCTACCGAATTATACTAGTAGTCGTGTTTTCTCCATCATGCACTCACAGTGGTTTGGGGTTTTGTTTTGTTAAAGCCAGTTTTACTTAAGAATATTCTTTGTGAGGCAGTAAAAATTCTTCATTCCATTATATCTTGACCTATGAGAACACATCTTTTTAATGATCTCTGTGATGTCATGGGACGTTCACATAAAGCTCTTCTGCTGGGTGCCCAGGCACGAAGCACAGTGGCTGTCTCGGTTTGGAAGGGTACTTGTATGTTTGAGTTATGAGCCGAACTGGCCACTTTTTTTCACGGAGCATCGCTTTTGCTTGAAAGAATGACTGACAGATAGATTATGGTTTTTCAGGTCATTTGGGTATTTGGTAGATATTTTCTCAAAAATGAGCAAAGGGAATCTGTCACTTCAAAGAAAACAACTGTCATTTATTATTTTTTTAAATATATTTTATTGGGATAGAGAGTTAGAAACATTGATGAGAAAGAAACATCGGTCAGCTGCCTCCTGCACACCCCCTATTGGGGATGTACCTGCAACCAAGGTACATGCCCTTGACCAGAATCTAACCTGGGACCCTTCAGTCTGCAGGCCGACACTCTATCCACTGAGCCAAACCCGTTAGGGCACAACTGGCATTTTATTGCTAATGATACAATTAAAGCTTGCAAGAGAGAATTGGAATTGTGGAAAACTTGTACGCACTCCCATGAACTTGACAACTTCTCAATACTAAAGGTTTTTTTTGATGAGATTGGGACAGGGGATAATGAATGATTTAAAAAAAAGTATCCTATAATGAAATGTGCCAACATTTGGAAAATCTGCATAATTCAGTGAACCAATATTTTCCAGTGCATGTAGTTTCTAAATCATGAGTAAAAGATCCATTTAAAGTGTATGTTAGACCAATGGACTTTAACAGAAAAGTTCATTAATAGGTTTCAGATTCCACATTGTAAGAAACTTCATTTGTCAAGTTTTGGAACAGTATCAAAGATGTCACAATTAATCTAGAAAAGCTATTAAAATATTCCTCCTGTGTCTAACTATATGCCCATGCGAGGACAGATTTTTGTCCTATACTTCAACCAGAACAGTGTATCAAAGCAAATATGAGAACCTAGCTGTCTTCTGTTAACCCAGACACTAAAGAGATTTGCAAAAATATAAAACAATGCATTTTTTAAATTTGGAAAAATAACGCTTTTTTTGGTTAAAATATGTTGTGCTAAATGTAATGGATTTATTGCTTGTTATTTTTGAGTTAATAAATACGTATTTAACATTTTTTCAGTTTTAATTTCTAGTGTGGCAAACATTGCTAGTATAACCCACATAAAAGTTTTAGGGTCCTCAGTAATTTTTAAGATTATGAAGGGGTCCTGAGACCAAAAAGTTTTTAAAATCGTTACCTTAAAGCCAGGGGTGGGGTACCTTTTTCTGCCAAGGGCCATTTGGATATTTATAACATCATTTGTGGGCCATACAAAATTATCAGCTTAAAAATTAGCCTGCTGTATTTGGTCATTTAATTAACTCACTCCTAATGCCTTGGCAGGGCCAGACCAAATGATTTCTTGGGACTCATACGGGCCCCTTCTTTTTTAACATTAATACTTCAAGAAAAAAATGATTTTAAATATAATATTTTTACATGCAATATAAAAATGCAATAAACATTAAATGGGTCCCTTCTTTATCTTCCCTGCTGAGTTACACGTGGGGGAAGTGTGACCAGCTTTGGTGGCATGGGCCCTTGTGGCTGCCTCAATGAATCTCTTCCGACTTTGGGGTGGGCAGGAGCCCACCTAGGAGTGGGGAGCAACGGGTCAGCAGTGTGAGCAGTTTGTCCACACGCAGAGAGGCAGGGAGCAAGGTGTGGACTCCGCACAGGCTGGACGGTCAGCCCCGAGTTTGTTCTGGGCTGTCTTTCACTTGGCTGCTAGCGAACTGCTTGACCCATCAGGCCCCTCAGATAGGATATTGGAATAATAGTACTGATTTCTTGGGGGTAGTTATGAGGTTACAGAAAACACTTATAAATTTTTAAACCCAATTAATGATAGCTGCTGTTATTATTAATTATTTCCTTTTTTACTCTTTGGTGTCTTTTGAGGCTGAATATGTTTATCATCCCAGCAAGGCTGGCTTCACATATTTTTATGGTACATAACTTTTCCCCCTTTTTTGCAACAGTGCCAGCAGCTGTGGCATCACCTGAAAGTGGCAGTAAGTGTAGATGCATTAAATTGCTTTAGCTCTGGGGATGGTGTTGAGTGTGTTTGCTCTGTCCCAGAACATCGGGTAGCAGCTAGGAGTTGGTTGGAATTGGATCTAAGGCTGCTTTGGGCTGGTTTTCATTGCTTGGACTCTTAAACATTTGACTGTTACTTTTTATACCCTTTTTTTGTGTGAAATACTTTGCCAAGGTACTATTTTGTAGGATAAGATGTTCAGACTCACAAGTACCTTGCAGCTTCAGTAAACTTCTGTGGTGTCATACTGTCTGCTAATGCCAAGTGGAAGCGCATGAAATCCTCTGCTCTAAAACTGGAGTTGAAAGCAACTTACTGTACGCAATAAAGACAGCTGGCTCGTATACATCTCTGCCTTCTAGTCTTTTAGGAATTGTTGAAGATCCATGTGGGAGAGTGTATGGAGCAGCATTTTGTGTGGTCGTTTTCTTTGTATATGGCCCTGTGTTTGGAACTGTGTTTCTTTCTTTCTTTTTCATAGGCTGCAACAGGTTTGAAGTGACACTAGAGAAATCCAATAAGAATTTCTCCAAAAAGATTCAGCAGGTAGGCAGTGATGGTGGTTGCTACATTTATATTTGACTTCTCTGAGATTCTGTCAGAACTAGAACTTCCGTAACATCATTTAACTCTTTGAATCCTCTGCTCTGTCCTCCCATTTATCCAGGGATTTCTGTCTCTCCATCATGTGTCTGAGATCTTTTCACAAGCAGAAACTGTGATTGCACATAAATAATAAGTCAGATCCCTATTATTGGTGTAGGTTCTTTAGTCCCTTTTTAGTACTGTAGTTAAATGAATGTTTGTTAACCCTTGTCAGGAATGTTTAATTAAGTCTAATGATTTGCTGTTTTCCAGATCCATGTGGTTTCCCAGTTTAAGATTCTAGTCAGCTTGTTAGGTAAGAAAGGGGGCTATGATTGTATTTCATGTGTCAAAAAACACAAGCTATGACCTAATTAATCCTTTTGTGGTTAATTTGGTAATTGTTACTAACAATGAAACTGACATGTTCCAAATCCTATATAAATAAAAGGCTAATATGCAAATCGAACGAATGGCGGAACGACTGGTCGCTATGACATGCACTGACCACCAGGGGGCAGACGCTCAATGCAGGAGCTGTCCCCTGGTGGTCAGTGCGCTCCCACAAGGGGGGGCGCCGCTCAGCCAGAAGCCGGGCTCATGGCTGGCGAGCGCAGTGGCGGTGGTAGGAGCCTCTCCCGCCTCCATGGCAGCACTAAGGATGTCCGACTATGGGCTTAGACGTCATTTGGACATCCCTCGAGGGCTCCTGGACTGCAAGAGGGTATAGGCCTGCTGAGGGGGGGGACCCCCCCAGTGCACAAATTTCATGCACCGGGCCTCTAGTAATATATAACAGGCTACAGAGGTAACTAAGGCAAGAACAGCCTCCATAAACTTGAGCTCTGTTCTCCAAGAAGTGTCACTTCATTTATTCACTCATTCGTTCAGTAATCTAGCAAATATTCATTGAGACCTACTCTAGGCATTGGGGATACTATGTTGAATAAGACATGTTTCTATCTTGTGTTCCGATTGTGAAGACTGAAATGATAAAAAGTAATCATGATACCATGTGGTAAGTTACAGTGGAGAGTTATAAAACGTGTTGTGGTATCTTAGTAACGGGAGGGACAACATTACTTAGTCGGTGAATAGGATTGTGGCAGAAAGAAAGGCAGCGCATTATAGGCAGAAGAAGGAGCTTAAGCAAAGGCCCTGAGAACAGGCCAGACTTAGGTGGAGAGGGGCAAGAGGCAGGTGAAAGACCGATCCGGGCCAGGCTGTCCAGGGCCTGTGTGAAGCCACAGTCTCATGGGCGGCAGCCAGTGAGGACTTTCCTTGGCAAGCAGACTAGAAGCCTGCTGCACACTCAGTGCTGTTCAGCCCAGGGCCCAAATGGTAGAGTCATTTTAAACTGGGGCTTAAAATGGAGAGGAGCATTCATGACAGAAGCTAGATCGAGGCCTGAGTGAAATCCATTTGTATGCTTTGCTCGAAAAGAAATCCTTGCAATTGGTTTGTACAAAATCCATGGGGGTTTCCTTTCTCTTATTGGAGCCTCCCAGTATAAGTAGCTTTGACAACCATTTCTTATACAAACATTGCGTCACAAATTTCCAGACTTGAGAAGGCGTATGAGAGTGCTTTGGAAGTGAAAGAGGTCTTTTATTTAAGCCGGCCACAATTTAAAGGAACAAAACATCCAAGTTCAGAAGACTGAGTAACCTCTTCCGTGTTTTGTAACAGACCAGAGTAAATCATTGTTAGTGAAACTGAAGGTATATCTACAACCAACACTTGCCATTTGGTTCTTCTGGTTGTTTAGTTTTGTTTTTGTCTTGAAGGTGGCTATATTAGAGAATTGTGATAATTTATTGTGATGTTTTGCTTCCATTTAAACAGAAAATAATATTTATGTCCATGACCTATTGACATTTCAACAAATCACTACGGTTTCAAAAGCAAAGGGAGCATCGCTGTTCACATGTGACCTCCAGGTAAGTGTAGGCAAGATGAAATTCAACTTTGTGCTTAAATAAAAAGTCTTTCCTCTATCGTTTATATCGTTAGATGGGAGGAATAACATTGATATCCAATCCCAGCAGAGACTCTAAAGAGAATATTTGATTTTGGATTGTATTAGAGAAATTTCCCCGTTAGTATGTAGTCTGAGGTTGAAGCATTTGCATTCCTGGTATGTGTGCTAATTAAAGCACCAGACATCCGTATGGCAGGAGGCAACTAACCAAGGATAAAAGCACCTGTGATGGAGAAAACATACTGGGAAGTGAAACCTGTAACAGTGAACCATGAACATAGCTATGGGACATTAAATTGACTCTTATTCTAAGCATATCATCGTGGCTTCTGTCTTTAGGGAGCTTTTGTCATTCAGGAAAGACATTTCTCATTTTTTGCTAATTCACCACCCTTACATTCTTTAAAATCTGCCTTACCCACAACTTTGATCACTTTTTAGCATTTATGATCTGCATTGTTTTATGCGTAGACATTTTCCTTACCGCCAACTCCTTTTTCTTTTTAAATTTAAAAAAAAATGATTTCAGAGAGGGAGAGGGAGAGAGAGAAACATTGATGAGAGAATCGTTGATCACCTGCTTCCTGCACACCCCCTACTGGATGATTGAGCCTGCAACCTGGACATGTGCCCTGACTGGGAATCAAACTGGCAACCTCTTGGTGCATGGGATGATGCTAACCATTGAGCACACCGGCTGGGTCACCCCCCCGCCCCCCGCCCCCCTACTTCTTTAAAGGATTGAAAGTGGCCACTGACCATGCCAATCTCAGATCCAGCATGAATTAACAGCCATGAGTGAGAAGCATTTAAAGGAAAAAAGGGAGGAAGCGGTTATGTAGGTAAAGGCCTGCCCTGGGATTTTCCTCTCTGAATTGTGAATGTCCACAAGATTTGCTGATGCGAGGGCCTTTGACCAGCAGCCCGTGGGGGGGAAGTGCTCTCAGCCTGTTGTTTCTGAATACATCTTAGAGAATGGTATTCTTCAGCTCATGATGGGATTTTCAGATTAGTAGCCATTTCAAGGTAGAAAATCTCTAATCTAGTGACTGTCATTCAGTGATAGAGTAATTGTGTGCATATCCTCATTTGCTCTGGGTGTGTATTTGCAGCACATAGAGACTGGTGAGGAGGTGTTGCGGATGTGTGTAGCTGTGAAAAAGAAGCTGCAGCTCTATTTCTGGAAGGACAGGGAATTTCATGAATTGCAGGTAAAGTTCACTGTCACCTGGTCCATAGGTTGGGTGGGAGGTCCTGCTTTAGTTGATTCACAGCTTGAAAGACTAATGGTTCAGTTGTAGTGAAGGTCATGCTCCCAGTCTTGGAGTTCTCTCCAGATGAATGCTCTGCTATGTATACACAGAGCTTACTCATGCCCCTTGGTCAAAGTCTCGTGGTCTTCAGAGGCAGCAGCAGTACAATTGTACAGATTGGTTTTTTCAAAGTGAGTTTTCACCTTTCCAAATGCACCTTGCCCAGTGCTTGGGTGACTTACAGTAAGTCCTCACTGAACGTTGTTGATAGGTTCTGCAACTTTAAGCAAAATGACATATAACAAAATAGGCTCATTGCTATAAACAAGAGTTAAATTCCTACAGCATCTTGTCAACATTATAACAAAATGATGTTGATGAATGATGTTATTCAAGGACCAGCTATATTTTTATTATGGGTGGTTTCCTGGTCTTGTGCTTATGGAGTTGAATTCAAATGAGGATGAGGGTGATTTTGCAGAATGGGGGTGGGATATTAGGAACGTTGTGATTTTTTTTTTCCTTTAACATCTTTCCAATTGAACTCCTGCTCTCTTTCTTCAGGGGGACTTTAGTGTACCAGACGTGCCCAAGTCCATGGCATGGTGTGAAAATTCTATCTGTGTGGGTTTCAAGAGAGACTACTACCTCATAAGGGTAAAAATTATTATTTTGCAAATATCATCAGTTTGCTTTGGGGAAGATGATTCTATGCTTCTGAAGTATAAGTCAAGAGACTGCCTCAAGTAGAGTTTTTGACATAAAAGGGTTTGTGCTTGTATGTTTGATTATTTTTCATGCTCTCAGCATCTTTCACAAATATGATGTCTGTGTATCTTAAGCCAGGCAGAGTCAGCTCTCAGTTCTCTACATAATGAATGATCCACATACTGAATGGAATTATTGGAACAGGTCATTAGGGCTGCTTGCCTCCAACAGGATTATCATGGACTGCTATTTTAGTATTAAGTATTTTTAAGACTTTGAGATATCTGCCTCTTTTAGTATATTTGTCTTAAAAATTATTTTCATTGCTTTTTTTCTAAACTTCAAAAGCCATATGTATATATTATAGAAAATAAGAAAATACAGATAAAAGGAAAATAAATGAGGTGCAAATCATCCATAATCCCCCCACTCAAAAATAATCACTGTTAACCTTTTGGTATATGGGCTTCCATCCTGTTTATAAAAATACCATGTCATACACATATATGTATTGTATTATATATGTTATGTAATATACAGTATAACCTGCTTTTTCTTTTCACCTAAGCAGTAAATATCCATGACATTGGTCTTTTTTCCTACACTATGCACACTATATGTACCCAACTATAGAAAAAGGTTGATAACTATTCGTTTCATCATCTAAGTTTCTTAGCTTCATATCCCTCTCATAATCCAGACTTGGCAGTTTTAGAAGCCGTTCTCCCCCACACCAAGTTAGCTCGTCATTATTTATCTAGTTAATGTATTTGTTCCATATTTACATTGTTGGAATATCCTACCTTTTACTTTTATCAACATCAGAGTTGCAAGTTCGTAAAGGAGTTACTGGTGTACAGTTGACTGAATAGCAAGCTTGCATCTAGGCATAGAGTTGCTAAGAGAAGTCTGGGGGATGGGAGACAGCCAAGAGTTGGAGTGTTTTTATTACCTTGGATGCTTCCATCTCCCACTTAAGGCTAGAGTCATTTGAGCGTGGGAAATCTTGCTATGGGACCAGGATATTTACAAGTTATTCATTTATTTACATATAGTAAAATTCATTGTTTTTGATGTATAGGTCTGAGTTTTGACAAATTGCCCAGAGTTCTATAATCACCACTACAATCAAGATTTAGAACAGTTCCATCACTCCTGAAATTCCCTCATGCTGCCTCTTGAGGTCAACCCTCCTTCTACACTCAGCCTCCAGTAATCTATTCTTGCTTTTGCCAGATGTCATATAAACAGAATCATCAGAATCATATATATGGCTAGTGTACTGTAATGCATTTGACATCCACCTGTGTTGTGTCAATATATTCTTTTTATAGCTGAGTAGTATTCTATGGTATGAATGTATTATAGTTGGTTTATTCATTCATCAGTTGAAAGGCAAAGTTGTTTCCAATTTTTAGCCATTATGATAAAGCTGCTATAAACATTTGCATATGGGTTTTTATGTAATAAAAAATAAGTTTCACTTCTCTTGGGCAAGTGCGTAGTAGTAGAATTGCTAGGTTACATCATAAGTGTATATGTAACTTTAAAAGAAACTAACAAACAGGACGGCTGTACCATTTTGCATCCTCACCAGCAGAGTGTGAGCGTACCAGTTCTTCATCCGGGCCAGCACTAGACATTGTTATTTGCCAGGCTAGATGCTTGTCTCTGTGTTAGAGAAGAAGAGAACTGGTTCTACATAGTGATGACAAAACTTTTCTTTCAAATTCTATTTGTTATCTATTTCCTTGTGCCAAACAAGGACTGTTTTTGACTTCTGTACGGTTTGGGTTTTATCTTGATTTTTCCAGGCCGTGTTCGTGCCTCGGGTCAGAGAACGCTGGGTGACTGACTCTGTGTCTTCCCGCAGGTGGATGGAAAGGGGTCCATCAAAGAGCTCTTCCCAACAGGAAAGCAGCTGGAGCCCTTAGTTGCCCCTCTGGCAGATAGGAAAGTGGCCGTGGGTCAGGATGATCTCACCGTGGTGCTCAATGAGGAGGGGATCTGCACACAGAAATGCGCCCTGAACTGGACGGACATACCAGTGGCCATGGGTGAGACCAGCAGTAGCTGCTGCTGCCCACTCTCGGCTAGGGCTGTGTGCCACCTTCGAAGAACGGAAGAATAGCTTTAGCGACTGTGGTTAACAGTGTCCTTCACTCTCAGTTCCCCTTCTTGTAACTAGGCAACTGTTGTAGGGTTATTGAAAATGGGATATTCTGGTTTTTGTAGAAAGCTGATGTTTGCCCCAGAGGCAGGGAAAATCTAAATAGAATTGCACATTTTATAAGTAATTGTCTACTGCTATCTTTACTTCTTCGTTTATTTTTAATGGTTTTGTTGTGTCCTCTGCCAAGTAGTGGAAATTCCTTATTTATTTCTGTAATACATATAACTCAGTATTGAAGGGTTCTTACAGGAGGGTTATTGCTGCTGTTTTTGTAGCTTAGAGGTGCAGACTGTGTTTAGGTGTCAGTCTCTGTCCTTCGTTTCTGTCCCACACCTGCCTCAGGCTCCCAGCTCTCTGCGAAGGTATTGCCAGTTGAAAGAATGAACATTGTAATAACAGTTACTGCTATGGAGTGGGGCATGCAGACTTTAAGGACTTTAGCTCTGGACACAAAACTTAAATTTTCTAAAAAGTGACAAAACTGCTTAAGGCACTGCTTAAGGTGTTAAATTGGAAGGGCTGAGATTCAGTAGTTCAGCTCTGAACTCCTGAAAGGGGAAGTTCATTGTTCAGTAGTCAGGAGGTAGTTTCATTACATCGATAAGATTGCACTAGACCAGCAGGGAATTTAGGATCTGGCTTAAAGAAAAATTCCCTTTCACTCCAGGTAGAAAGCATAGTTTGAAAAGCGAGTAAAATGTAGAAGACATGCTGATCTGTGAGAGGGCATGCCAGAGACCGAGCCGGCTAGAACAGGGTCTGAATTATGGAAGAATAAGGTCAGGGCCACTTGTTAGAGGCCCATGCCAAGGTTGGAGAGGCCAGTAGATTCCTCAGTGGTAGAGCGTCTTGATAAAAGCATCAGGTTCTAGGGTGGTTATTCCAATGGTGGTTAGAGACTAATAGACCAGAAGGAAGAGAAATCAAAAGGATGGTATTTGATAAGGCCCAAGATTGTGCATATTAGTGAGTTTGAGGGGCTAAGAGCTTCCCAAGTGTTATATTGTAAATCAGAAGACACCTTAATCAATAAGCCAAATTAATTTGGAGTCTTTTATTTTTACACTAGTACTAGTGGGCTTAGAGTAGAGTGTCTCTGTCAAATTCTGGGCCCCAAATAGAGGAAGTCTCTTCTATTTATACTCTTTTCAGTTCTTTGTTTTCCAAATTTGGAACGAGACTTCTGGACCTTCTGAGGAAAAGTCCTGTGTGCTGGGACAGGGCCGTGAGACCATATCTCAAGGCCTGGCCTGGCGCCGGCACTGACAACTCTGTCTGGGGCATAGTTTATGGCCTCTCTGGAGTGGGGAGTAGTCTTATTTTCCCTATTATTTAAGCAAGCAAATGTTTACAGAAGCCAGAATAGCAGGGTTAAAGTTTTAAACAGCAGTTTTTACCCAAGATGGAGATTACTGTGCTTCCCAAGAAGCTTCCTGATGTCCTAGGGCCCTTGTTCGGAGAACGTTTAGATTAGATGAAGATGTGTGCAATGTGCTTGGAGTTTGCTCTGACTCCCCGGTGTGAGAGGCCTGTTCTAAACCTTTGTCAGTGCCCAGCGCCCTCAGCAGTGTTTCTCAGAGACATTTCTGTGCCTTAACGTTTTGAAGGAGAGGGCATTCTTTCTGGGTAGGGTGGGACTCACCGTCTGACAGCAGGAAGACTAAGCTTAGAATGGCTTACATTTTAAACCGCACTTTTATTTCTGCTCGCATCTTGACTACTTCCCACAGGCTCCAGTCGTTTTCTTTTTGTTTTGTTTTTTAATCCTCACCTGAGGGTATTTTTGCATTGATTTTTAGAGAGAGTGGAAGGGAGAAGGAGAGACAGAGGGACAGAAACATGTGAGACTCCAGTTTATGCCCCGATTAGATCAAGCCTGCAACCTAGGTATGTGCCCTTAACCGGAATCGAACCCGGGACCCTTCAGTCTGCGGGCCAACACTCTCTTCTCTGAGCCAAACCGGCCAGGGCAGGCTCCAGTCATTTTGGAGTCCCCCTCACTGCCGTTGTCTGCACTGTTCCCTTTTTCTTTCTTGTCACCCAGCAGCACCCTGCTCATATGACAAGGCCCCATGCAGCGGCACTTCCTCTATGGAGGCTTCTCTGACTCGCTGGCAGAGGGAGCCACTTCCTCCTCGTGGCTTCCAGAGCCTTTCAGGTTTCTCTGTCACGGCACCCACATGGCCGCGCTGGGTGAGGGAGTTGTCACCTCTGCTCTTGTAGGAGCTCTGTGAGCTCTGGACTCCTCCCTCCATCCACTCTGGGGAGGGTCTGAAACATGGCCTTTTAGTAAATGCTTGAGGAATAGATGAATCATGTCATTGTCAGCCAGTTATTATGTCTGCTGCACACTAGCCACTCTGCCAAGTTTTGAAGATACAAAGAGATCCACACCATTTTTATTGTGTTTGAGAAACACTACTGAAGAGCTGGGGGAGACTGAACAAATGCAATATGACACCAACAGGATTTCTACTGTAGATTACCTTTAAAAAATTATTAGACCTGCCGTAGCTGGTTTTGCTCAGTGCATAGAGCATCGGCCTGTGGACTGGAGGGTTCTGGGTTTGATTTTGGTCAAGGGCATGTACCTGGGTTGCGGGCACATCCCCAGTAGGGGGCGTGCAGGATCAAAGATTCTCATCATTGATGTTTCTATCCCTTTCCCTTCCTCTCTGAAATCAATAAATATATATTAAAAATAATAATTAGTTCCTGACCAGTTTGGCTCAGTGAATGGAGTGTTGGCCTGCGGACTGAAGGGTCCCAGATTCTATTCCAGTCAAGGGCAGGTACTGTGGGCACATCCCCAGTATGGAGTGTGCAGGAGGCAGCTGATAGATGTCTCTCTCTCTCATTGATGTTTCTGGCTCAATATCCCTCTCCCTTCCTCTCTGTAAAAAATCAATAAAATATATTTTAAAATAATAATAATAATAATTAGATCTTATTAAGATTAAAAAAGAGAAATTTTACATATCTATACAAATTAACGCTGAGGAAAATTATACTAGCTTTAAAAAAAAATGAGACCAACATTGAAAGAAAATTTAAAAATCAAGTGCAAAACAATGTTTTTTAATTGTGTTTTCTGGTAAGATGAAAAATAGCAGCATAGTAACAATAGCATTTAAATTGATGAAAATATTACTTATGCTCCAGTTTCTGCATTTCTGAGTTCCCTTTTGGCTTTAAAATTTTATTGTACTATTCATTTTGAGTATAAATTACAAATATAAAATCAAAGGCTTTTTATCAGAAAATAGATGAGAAAAATTAATTCATAGCAAGTTAGCCACAATTTGAGGTTAAATTTCTGTATGACAATTTTGGAGCATAAGTAATATTTTCATCAATTTAAATGCTATTGTTACTATGCTGCTATTTTTCATCTTACCAGAAAACACAATTAAAAAACATTGTTTTGCACTTGATTTTTAAATTTTTATTTTTTATAATTTTTTAAAATTTTATTTTTAATTGTAGTAAAAAAAACAACATAAAATCTACCTTCTAAACCATTTAAGTGTACAGTTCAATAGTGTTACATACATTGCCATGCAACAGATATCAGAACTTTTTCATCTCCCAAAACTGAAACTTTATATCCATTAAACAACACATTTCTCCCCTCCCCTAGCCCTTGGCAACAATCATTCATTCTCCTTTCTGTTGCTATGAATTTGACATTCTAGATACCTCATATAAGTGGTAGAAAACAGCTGCACTGAGAACACAATCCAGCTGCCTTCTCTGTGAGCCATTAAATGTTAAGTGGAGCCCTGGCTAGTATGCCTTCGTTGCTTAGGCATCATCCCATCCACCAAAAGGTTGCTGGTTCCATTCCCTGTCAGGGCACAGGTCCAGGTTGTGGGCTTGATCCCCTGTAGGTGATGTGCTGGAGGCAGCTGATCAATGTCTCTCACACTGATGTTTCTCTCTCTCTCCCTCTCCCTCTCCCTCCTTCCCTTGCTCTCTCTCTAAAAATCAATCCTATCTAATAAAAGAGTAATATGCAAATTGACCATCACTCCAGCACACAAGATGGCCGCCCCCATCTGGTCAAAGATGGCCACCACAGATGGTCAGCAGGGGAGGGCAGTTGGGGGCGACCAGGCCTGCAGGGGAGGGCAGTTGGGGACAACCAGGCCTGCAGGGGAGGGCAGTTAGGAGCGACCAGACTGGCAAGGGAAGGCAGTTAGGGGTGACCAGACTGGCAGGGGAGGGCAGTTGGGGGTGACCAGGCCTGCAGGGGAGGACAGTTAGGGTTGACCAGGCCGGCAGGGGAGGGCAGTTAGGGGTGACCAGGCTGGCAAGGGAGGGCAGTTAGGGGCGATCGAGCCAGCAGGGGAGCAGTTAGGTGTCAATCAGGCTGTTAGGGGAGTGGTTAGGGGCAATCAGGCAGGCAGGCAGGTGAGCGGTTGGGAGCTAGCGGTCCTGGATTGTGAGAGGGCTGTCCGACTGCCCATTTAGGCCCGATCCTGGTGGGCAGTTGGACATCCCTCTAAGGGTCCCAGATTGGAGAGGGTGCAGGCTGGGCTGAGGGCCCCCCCCCCCCCCCCGCACGAATTTTGTGCACCTGGCGTCTAGTAAAATTATATTTAGAAACAAAAATGTCAAGTGGAGTTTTGTATCTCTTCCCTGTGAAAATCTCAAACAGAAACAACAGTGGCCAGAAATGTGGGACTCCTTTTTTTTTAGTATAATTTTAGGGGGAAAAGAAGTTACACTCCTCTTGCCTCGCTTTGTGACTGATGAGAAAGGAGCAAGTGAAGCTTCCACCCAGTTCTTTGGGAGAAATGGTAGGAGTAGGATCAGGTCACTCTTAGCAAAGCTGAGTGCATCTGTTTTGTGTAAGAGATTTCTCTTAGCATCACTCAGGCAAACAACCTTTTTGTCTATATATTGCACTAGAGGCCCAGTGCATGGATTCGTGCACCTATGGGGTACCTCAGCCTGGTCTGTGGGAATCAGGCCAAAAGCAACTCTCTGACATCCCCCAAGAGGTCCCAGATTGCGAGAGGGCGGTTCTCGGGTGACGCACCCCGGAATTGGGCTCTTGCCTCTTGGGGTCCAGCGTGCAGATAAAGCAGATTTGGGGCTGACAGTGCCCAAGCAGCAAACTAACCCACAGCTGATTCTGCGAGGAATCAGGCTCCCTCTTCCCTCCTCTCTGGGTTCGGGTGCAGGTGAAGCAGATTCGGGCCAACAGTGCCCAGCAGCAACCTAACCCACAGCTGATTCTGCGAGGAATCTGGCTTCCTCCTCTACTGGTCAGAGCGTCTGACCCCTGATGGTTATTGCGCATCATAGCTACCAGGCGAACGGTCAAACCGTCGGACTTAGGCATTTATATATATAGATTATAGGATCCTGGTTTGGTATTTGACTTTGGGCTTTTTGGAGATCCCATTTAAATGCAACTTAGAAATGGGCAACTGACAGTTCATAGACCTAAAGCCTTAGATCAGAACTGCAACTCAAGATGTTCTCTTTTGCCCAGAGCACCAGCCTCCCTACATCATTGCAGTGTTGCCTCGATATGTGGAGATCCGAACACTCGAGCCAAGGCTCCTGGTCCAGAGCATTGAATTGCAAAGGCCCCGTTTCATCACTTCAGGAGGGTAAGGAATTTCTGTCTTTGCTGGAACTGCCATATCATTATCATTACACAGCTTTAAAGTCACCTATATCATCATAAAGCCTGTGCCGTTTTGCTGATACTTTTACTCCTGCCTCCAGATCAAACATTATCTATGTGGCCAGCAATCATTTTGTTTGGAGACTTATTCCTGTCCCCATGGCAACTCAGATCCAACAGCTGCTCCAGGACAAACAGTTTGAATTGGCTTTGCAGCTTGCAGTAAGTCTTGTTTCTAAGATTTGGGTGTGAGTCTGCCTTTCTCATTGTTCTCCAAAGTAGGTGATTTGGGTTTAGTTTTTCATATTTGGTTTCGACTGGTAGAAAAGCACAGAGCTGAAAGTCTGAGACCTTGGATTCAGGGTCTGACTCTGCCACAAAGTATCTACAGTAGGTCCTCAGGTTACGTCAGATATCCGTTCCCACGGCGCAACGTAACACAATTTTTGCCGTAAGTCGGAACCCACCTACATAAGCACCCACATCACTCGCATGGAGCACATACACAGCAGTAATGAAGTGAAACAATAAAAAAAATTTAAAGGAAAGATAACAATTCCTGACCTTCACTTGTGGCAAATAAATAATAAAAAACATAAAGCATGTATGTCCATATGTCGAAATGACGGAACTTTTTTTTTACAAATAAATGGGAGATGGCGACATAACCACAAAACCATGCACGTTGAGTCCGACGTAACCCGAGGACTGTCTGTATGTAACTTGAAGTGATTTCACTTTTTCAGTTTGCAAATGTATAATTAATGTCAATTATAATTATAGTACTTCATAGAATTAATAGAATAAAATAATTTAGTAGATTATGATCTGGTCCTGAAAAATTAAGGACAACGCAAATGTTGGAGTAAAGTAACAACTGTAAATGTAAAATTATAGTCTGGTTGCCCTGCCAGCATGGCTCAGTTGGTTGAGTGTCCTGTGCACTAGCAGGTCGCAAGTTCGATTCCCAGTCGGGGCAGATACCTGGGTTGCTGTTCAGTCCATGGTTAGGGCACATACGGAAGGCAACTGTTGTATCTTTCTCACATCCATGTTTCTCTCTCTCTCTTCCTCCCTCTCTAAAATAAAAAATAAATAAAAAAAGATTCCGGTGTGGTTGAATTAAACCACTAGAGGGCCTCAGCATCTCTTTCAACAGTGGACTGTTAAGTTTGGACAAGCAGGCCTGTCGGTATTCTACTCTCATCTCAAGTTGCTGCATTCAGCAGGCTGCGCCTTTATATTTATGACTGTCACCCTCCTTGAATGTTTGCATGGGATGATATTCTCGGCAAAGTAGTGACCATGCTCTAGTTCCAGCGATGCTCCCAGGGCCAACAGACATCTTGGACACTGGCTTCTGAGGCTTGTCTTCTTCTTTTAAATATCCCACCAGGATGCTTGTCTTGGATTTTAGGAAACAACCAAAAGTCATTCTGAACCTTTCCTAGTCACTAAACCAGACGGTGGTAATTTGGTAATAGCGAAGTGTTTATGAAGACAGTAGTTGGAAAACTTAATTTCTAGAGTATCTTGTAAATTATTTCTGAAAGGAAAGCAGTTGTCACAAATTTTGGTATACATATGCTTACGTCACATATGGTGGATATTCTTGATGAACAACATTTATTTTGGATGTAAATACAGTCTTAATAGTTGAACATGTTTAATATTTCATAAGAATTATTTCTTTCTTGGGGCATTTAATGTCAGCATCTTACTATTCTGTTATTTTCCACTCATGCATTGTTCTATATTATTTTATTTATATTTTAAATCAATGAATACCCACTACCTTACTCAAGAGAAAGAACTGATAACCTTGTATGTTCTTCCCCAACCCATCCCTCTGCCTCCCCTCCAAACACACCATTATCCAAAATTATGTGTTTATCATGCCCTTTACATTTTTTTAGGTATGTTAGAATATGTATTTAGTTTTAACTTAATAAAAAAACAATATCATGCAGTACATAGCTTTTTTTAGTATCTATATTTTTCTTAACACGAAGGTTTCAGATCTTTTCAGCAATCTTCCTGATGCAGGTTTTCTGTTTAATCATCGATAGGGAAGATGGAAATGGGCTTCCATTTTTCCTTCTCTTTTCTAGGCTTGCGCTTACTAGGTGGTCTGCCCTATGATGAAAGAAGGTTGGTCCATAACAGCTTAACTCTTGAGGAACCTGTCTCTTATATAAATAAATTAAAGACCATATATGTCTCTTTCTTTCTTTCTTTTTTTTTTTTTAACCGCAGACCAACTTGGCTACAGCTATGCCATTGATCTGCCAGGTAACTAATACAACTTCTAAATGGGTGATTCATCTTTTAAAGGAGCTTTCTTTCTTTTTAAAAAAAATGTAAACCAAGACCTTAAATTGAAGCATATATGTCTCTTTCAGAGGGCAATAATATACTAAACTTCAATGTTGACAAAATGTGGAGCAAAATGTGAGAGAAGGGATGGTTCCCTGAGGGCTAGAGAAGGCATCCTCAGATTGGACCCATTAGGGCAGTGATGGCGAACTTTTAGAGCTCGGCGTGTCAGCATTTTGAAAAACCCTAACTTAACTCTGGTGCCGTGTCACATACAGAAATTTTTTGATATTTGCAACCATAGTAAAACAAAGATTTATATTTTTGATATTTATTTTATATATTTAAATGCCATTTAACAAAGAAAAATCAACCAAAAAAATGAGTTCGCGTGTCATCTCTGACACACGTGTCATAGGTTCGCCATCACTGCATTAGGGATAGGTGAGATCAGGAGCAGGAAACAGGGAGCATTGAGGAGCCCAAGGAAGTTGAAGAAGTGGTAGCAAGTATTTCTAAGATGTTTGGAGCCCATCTTGACTGGAGTGGGGGGTATGGCTTGAATGTCTGGGAAGAAGCTAGAAAACAAGTTGCACAAGGTTTTGAAAACCTTTAGAGCTTCGAGTGGGAGAGCTTAGGTGAGGTGCTGCCTCACATTGATGGTGATCTGGACTAGGGCAATAGCAATAGAAAAGGAGAGGAAACGAAGAGAGAAAAATGAAAGGCATTTTGAAGGAAGAATTTAAATTTAGCAAAGATTGGTTAAAAGGGAGACAGCAGGGGGGAAAGGGGGTGTAAGTAAGGTACAGAGATAATAAATAGCTGTGCCTGCTGTGTTAAGTGTCTTTTATCCCTTGAGCACACTGTGTTCTCTCTCTGGTATTTTAGGGCCTTGTACGTATGCTGTTCTCTGCTCGGAGGAACACACTCTCCGTCTCCCCTCCCATCTGCCACCTGCCTTAACTCCAGCTCATTTTTTATACTTTAGTTTACTTTCTCCCGAGAATCCTTCCCAGACCCACTGCTCAGGCTGTTGTTTACCCCTCTTAGGTGCTTCTGTCATCTCTCTTACCCCATTTTGTTTGGGTTTTGATTATTTTTGTTTTTAAACTAAATTCTAGACTTTATTCATATTTTTCCAGTTTTTCCATGAACATTCCTTTCTTCTGTTCTAGGTTTAAATTCAGATGTCATATTGCGTTTGGTCATTTGTCCTTAGTGTCCTCTGATCTGTGACAGCTTCTTAGTTGTTCCTTGCATTTTATGACCTTGGTCGTTTTCAGGAATACTAGTCAGGTATATTTTGTAGAAACCCTGTTGTAGTTTAATTGCATAATTGCTTATCAGTCTTGTGATTAGACTGTGAGGGCAGTCTTTGAGAGCAGATACCATGTGACTGTCTGTACATGTTGAATTTGTACCTCCTGGGTGTTGTTTTATACCTAGTGTGTACTGAATAAATATTTGTTGAGTGAGTGAGCTCTTACCTATTCTACTCTCTTATTAGGAAATGAAAGATGATTCTGACAGTGAGAAGCAACAGCAGATCCATCACATCAAAAACTTGTATGCCTTCAACCTCTTCTGCCAGAAGCGTTTTGATGAGTCCATGCAGGTCTTTGCTAAGCTCGGCACAGGTAACAAGTGGGTGCAGCCCTGGGTAGGGAAGTAATGGAGGAGGGGAAACTGGACAGGGCGAGGAGAAATGACACCAGGTTTCTGAGAAAGGGGAAAGTTTACACTCACCTAAACTGATCCTCATACCTAACAGGATCCTGCAGGTGACATAGTTATAGTCCTACTCTTAGGGATCTGGTCTCACCTGTAAATACGGACAGACTTCCAGTTTTCCAGGATGAGTTGCCCTAGCCATTAGAGAAAGGTAACAGAATGTCATTCATTTCAACAAATGTGTATCCCATAGTCGAGTGTGTGTTGGATGCTGTTCTAGACAAAAGTCCCTGACTTGAGCTTAGAACCAAACAGCAGGTCATTTTTGAGAGCCAGCACAGGACAGGGTTGCAAAGCCCTTCCTTTTCTCAGTGTCTTAAAAATACTGAGCATCACGGTGACAAGCAGGCACTTTGGTGTCAGACAGCCTAACCTCCAGCAAAATTCCTGGACCTCTCTGGCCTTCAGTTCTTTTCTCTGCAAAACAGGGCAAATAATAATACCTCATATGAGATTATGCAAAATGCTTAGAACAGTGTGTGATACTTAATAAGTGCCAATTAAGTGTTTGCTATTATTACTGAATTTTTTATTTCTATATATTCCTTTTTTTTTTGCTTAATTAGGATCAATCTATATGGTTAGACCAGCCGTGGGCAAACTACGGCCCATTTGAAATGAATAAAACTAAAAAAAAAAAGACCGTACCCTTTTATGTAATGATGTTTACTTTGAATTTATATTAGTTCACACAAACACTCCATCCATGCTTTTGTTCCGGCCCTCCGGTCCAGTTTAAGAACCCATTGTGGCCCTCGAGTCAAAAAGTTTGCCCACCCCTGGGTTAGACTCTGTATGATATTATTTATCTCCTCCTTTCTCCTCTTTGTGCTGCCTTTTTTCCACCTTCCCTCATTTTTGGCCAATAATGAGCTGAGGTAACTCCCTGTATCAGTTAAGGTTCTTGGTTGTGAGCAATGGAGACCAATGCTGGGTAGTTTAATTAGCATCTGGATAAATTAAGCATGGGTTAGTGGAACATAAGGGGAATGGTAGTAGAGGAGCCCACAAAATTAATGGGCACCAGGCTCAGGACTGATAGGAACCAAAGGAACTTCAGAGGACCTCGTAGCAGGAAGCCGAGCAGTGATCCCTCTGTGGCATAGGCAGTCCTCCTCGGCACAGCCACTTCCTCAGCTGTGGCTGCCACCACCTCCCGTATTGTTGCTTCCTCAATAAAAATTGCCCCCTACAAGCTTATGTTACTATCTAAAGCCATGTTACAAACCACCCCAAAACTTAGTGGCTTAAAATAACAAATCATCTGTTAACCTCTCGGTATCTGTTGGTTAGGAATTTGGGAAGACTCAGCTGGGGGGTTCTTGCGTGGGGTCTCTCTCATGTGTTTGCAGTTGTATGTGGGCTGGGCTGCTGTCATCTGAAGTCTTAACTGGGCTGAAGGATCTACTTTTAAGGTGACTCATTCTCATAGCTGACAAGTTGGTGCTGGCCATGGGCTGGGGCCCCGGTTCTTATCCAAGTGGGTCTTTCTACAAAGCTGCTTGAGTGTCTTCGTGCAGAGAGACTAGGTTTCCCAGTGGAAGCCTCATTGCCTTTTATGACTCCTTCTACCCTATTCTGTTGACATACAGGGTCCTTCCCGGTTTAAGGCAAGGGAACACAGACAAAGCTCTTAATGGGTGAGTGTCCACATGCTGTAAGAGGAGCATGTAGGATGCAGTATACTTTGGTGTGTGCTGCACTGCTTGTCATTCTTGAGTCACTTTCTCAAGATCAAGGGGCTCTGATTGTCCAGGATTAGGTCATAGTCTCACTCCCTCTAACTGCCAGGGGTGGGGAAAGAGTTTGTGTTCCCTCTCTGCTTCTGAAGGCAAAGGTAGGTGCCCAGAACTATTCTGTTACCAAGACTACACCTGGTGTGGAAGAGGGAGTTGCCAAAAGGAAATAAGTTGCTGTTAAGAAGGGATATGGAAGCTGGGCAACCTGAAATCCATAAATATCTACTGTCCTTCCTTTGAATGAACTCAGTTGGGACATTTATCCACCAGCTCTTTAAAAAGACACCGGAATAAGATAGAATTTTTGTAGTAATTGGATTCTTTTTCCGTATACCAACGATACTTGAACCCCAGTCCCAAAGGTTTAAATTCATTCCTAATAAAGCTACAACCTTTGAATTTATTCATTCCACAAATATATACTGAGCGGGCCCAACAAGAACTAATCAGATGGAATTCTGCTTTCAAAGATCAACCTAGTAGGAGAGATAAGGCCCAGTGGATCCTTTCCAGTGGCAGGAGGATGTGCTGGTGGCAGTGCTGTGAGGGGCAGCTGGCCATTGACTGGACCTCTCAGGCAGGTCCTCCGGTGACCAACCTTGTCTAAGGTCTGGTCCTTCTGCCCAGTAGTGAATATCTTAGCATTCGCAGAGATCATTTGTCTCTTCCTCATCCAAGCTTTTCATGTGTATGTTCCAACATAGTTATAATATACTTTCATAGCTTTTGTTACTTAAAAATTATTCTTTTTCCATGTTGCTAGGTGCCTTTTAGAATTTGTAATGACTGCATAATACTCTACATTTGAAAAATACATTATTTTGCTGTTGAAGGAATTCTTCATTGTTTCCAAAATTGCATTGTTAACAAGTAATGTTACCTGTCCATACAGATGTTGCTTCTCCCCCCTTCCCCCAATCTTTTCCATTGTTTGTTTTTTTTAGGATTAACTCCTAGAAATAGGATTGGAGGTGTGAATGCTTTTTCCCTTTTTGAGGTAGCAATATTTTTTGCCTTAGCAGTGCAAGGATGATTGTTGCACAATGTTGCAAGCACTGGGTAGTATCATATAAAAATACTCTTATTGCCCTAGGTGGTTTGGCTCAGTGGATAGAACGTTGGCCTGCGGACCAAAGAGTCCCGGGTTCGATTCCAGTCAAGGGCACATGCCCAGGGTTGCAGGCTCGATCCCCAGTAGGGGGCGTGCAGGAGGCAGCCAATCAGTGATTCTCTCTCATCATTGATGTTTCTATCTTTCTCCCTCTCCCTTCCTTTCTGAAATCAATAAAAATATATTTTAAAAAATAATAAAAATACTCTTATTACTAATTAAATGGATATGAAAATGCCACCTGATATTTGTTATTGTTTTATAATATTTTATTTTTATTGGTTTCAGCTTTATGAAAGTATAATTGACAAATAAAATCATAATATATTTAAATACTTGCATAACCAAATTAATAACAAATCCATCAACTCACAAAATTAGCTTTTTACAAATTTTTATGAGACTGCTTAAATTTTAGTCTCATACCATGTGATTTCACTAACTGTGGAATCTAAAGAACAAAACAAACAGTAAATACAGAGACTCATAGATACAGAGAACAGGCTGATCAGGCTGCCAGAGGGAAGGGGAGTTAGGGAATGGAATGAATAAGGTGAAGGGATTAACAAGTACAAATTGGTAGTTACAGAATAGTCACGGGCATGTGAAGTAGAACATAGGGATATAGTAAACAATACAGTGGGGCCTTGACTTACGAGTGTCCCAACTAACGAGTTTTTCGAGATACGAGCCGTCTCTCGGCCGATTTTTTGCTTTGAGTTGCGAGCTAAAATTCGGGTTACGAGCCAGCTTCAGATACCCCACCGCTAGTTGGCACAGCAAACGTCACAGTGAACGCCACACCATCAGCCCAGCATCACGTGTCTCACTCGTTCACTTTTTGATTTGACATACGAGTAATTTGAGTTACGAGCTCCGTCACGGAACGAATTAAACTCGTAAGTCAAGGCCCCACTGTATTTGTAACAATTATGTATGGTGTCATGTGGAGATCACTTCATAAATTACATAAATACCTGAAAACAATATAAAATAATATTGGATTCACCTGACATTTTTAATGGCTAACAACACTTTGATTGTTAATGTAGCAGAACATTTTCCCACAAAGAAAAATAATTTGTAGTTTTCTTTTGTCAGTTGTTATGTCTTTTGCCCTGTTAGCAAATGAAATCTTACGGTTTTTTTAACCAATTTGTGTGCATTTGAAATCAACCTATTAGCCTTTTGCCATATAAGCTGCAAATTTATACCGTAGTCTGTTACCTGGTCTTTTTGTTTTAGTAATATTCCTTTTTGCCCTTTTTTTTCCCAGTTTTTTTATCTTTTCAACTTCAGTGTCTTAGCAGTTTTTCCTTAGAAATTTTTTTTCTTCTTTGCTTTTAGAGAGTAAGTTCTCATTTTTATTTCTGCATATATATGTGTGTCTGTGTCTTGGAATATAGTCATGCCATTTTTGTAATGTTTTAGTGACATGTGTATAAATAGTGCTCAAATTATAAGTGTATAACTCACTTGAACTTAGTCTTTATGAACTTAGTTATTCTTTAAAAAAAAGTCAGGAACTTGTTTTATTTTATCCTTAAATTGCTGTGCTTCTTTCTGGGGACTCATGTTTACCGTCCATTCTAGATCCTACCCATGTGATGGGCCTGTACCCGGACCTGCTGCCCACAGACTACAGGAAGCAGCTGCAGTATCCTAACCCCCTGCCTGTGCTCTCCGGGGCTGAATTGGAGAAGGCTCACTTAGCTCTGATTGACTACCTGACACAGGTAGATATAAGAGAGAGGTGTATGGAAGAGAGACTCGCGAGTTCCAACACCTGCTTCTTTACGGCAGGGCTTTTTGTAGTACCACAGACATTCCATAAATGAACACAGTGGAAGTCTGGGCGGGCGAGTGTCTTTCTGCTTCTCCCTGCTTGCCGGTACCATTGAGCTGCTTTTTGCCAAATCCTGACACCAGGAAACACACTTGATTCCTAGTAAATTCACAACTAACTAAGCTGTTCAGGGACTGAAAAGAGTACAGTTTAGTTGACAGAAAATAGTAAATTTTTAAAAACAAACATTTTTTAGCATATATAATTTTGTAAAAATACCTGCGTTAAGAAAAAAACTTGGAAAACACAGTAGAGTATAAAGCAGAAATACAGATCACCTGTAACTCTACCCAGAACCCAGAGGAAAGTAACTACATTTTAGTGTCATCCTTCCAGACTTTTATATGTATTTGTGAATTAGGTTTTATTTATTTATTGGTATATTTATTACAAAGGGATATCAAACTATATAACTTACTTTTAAAAAATTTAGTTATACATTGAGAAAGTTTTTCCTTGTTAATAAATAATTTTCTAAAATGTTTTTTAGGTGAATTATTTTTAGGTTGAAAAAAATTTGTTGTTATGGGCAGATAAGTGAAATTTTAAAGGCAACACTACAACTAACATCTTCACGGAAGCTTCTTAACACCAGAGTTCTTTCACAGAAGGCTGTGCACCCCTCAGAATCAGAGAACTTAGTGTATTTTTCCCTTGTAAGTGTTCTGCGGACCTCTGTAAGGCCCCCTGGATAGGCACTGAGAAGTATTGCCAGGAAAGTTGTAAGCCAGCTTCCTGCCTACTTCTGTGTCAGTGGGTGTCGCTCAGGACTAATCAGGCATGCAGGGCCTTGGCACTTCCTTGACATCGGACCCCAGCAGTACCCAGCTGTGGCTGGCAGCCTGCAAGGAGCGCACAGACTTGCCTCTGTCTGCACACTGCGAGGCCCATGGACCAAGTCAGACAGGCTCCTGGAGCGGCGTGCCTCCTGAGCCTGTGGCTTTACAGAGGCCTGCAGTTTACAGTGTCTCGGCTTTAGCACTCTAGGCCAGTGATGGCGAACCTATGACACGCGTGTCAGAGGTGACACGCGAACTCATTTTTTTGGTTGATTTTTCTTTGTTAAATGGCATTTAAATATATAAAATAAATATCAAAAGTATAAGTCTTTGTTTTACTATGGTTGTAAATATCAAAAAATTTCTATATGTGACACAGCACCAGAGTTAAGTTAGGGTTTTTCAAAATGCTGACACGCCGAGCTCAAAAGGTTCGCCATCACTGTTCTAGGCACATTCCCTGGCCTTCCCCACTGATGTTAGGAATGTGTGAAGTCAACTGACACTAGTGTGATGGCGGAGAGATGGTAGAGCATATAAGATGATGGGCATTGCCATTACAATACAAACTCAGTGATTCCATTATATAAAGTTCTGGAGGTGGTAAAAGCAATCTATAGTGATAGAGATTGATCAGTGGGGAGAGGGTGGGTGGGACTGTTTGGAAAGGGAACTTTTTGAGTGCTAGAAATCTGTTCCTCGATTGGGGTGGTGGTTACATGCACCTAGTAGTGCACTTAGAAGGGGTACATTTTACCACATGTAACTTGTGCCTCGATAACATTGACTTAAAAAATAATAATAAAAGAACATGGGCTTTGGGATCAGACCCTAATTTGAAATCTGCCTCTGCCACTTCTGAGGGATCTGACATCTGTACTGTGGGTTCTTCATTTATAAACTGCGGATAATGATACCTGCATTTCTTTTAGCTTTAAGGTAGAATAATACGTGAAGTGCTTGACAGTGCTGGTGTGTAGTAAACACTCAATAAATAATTATCTGTGGCAGTTTGGCAGTCATCTGAGGTTTTTTGTTTGTCAATCCTCACCTGAGCATATTTTTCCCATTGATATTTTTAGAGAGAGTAGGAGGAAGAAGAGGGGAAGAGAAAGAGAGAGAGAAACATTGATGTGAGAGAGACACATCAATTGGTTGCCTCCTGCACGGGACCCAGGCCACGATTGAGGCATGTGCCTTTGACCAGGTATCGCACCTGCCACCCTTCGGTCCGAGGGCTGACGCTCTAATCACTGAGCAGCTGGCCAGGCTGGCAGTCATCTGTTTTGATCCGTGATAGGAATTGTGTGTTATCACAGGGAGTCTGTTGAGGATTAAATGAGGAAAATCTGTGTTAAGGAAAGCCTTAGCATTGTGTTTGACACATTAAAAATGCTCTGTAGATTTCAACTATTTTTAAAAAGGTTTTTCTCAAAGAAAAAGAAAAAAAATTTAACATTGTTTCTTTTACTCCTTGAACTTTAATTTTTATTCCACTTTCTCCCTAGAATTCGACCCTGATATGCTATATGCATTTTGTGCTTGAAGATCTTTCATTGAGCCCTCTGTCATAGCTCTGTAACAAAAGTGTCATTTTAATTTTTAAAAATTTCCTGCAACCAAATAACTGTGTTTTTTAAAATGTCATCTGAGTTCACTTGTAACTACTATTAATGTACAATTGAGCAATGCATCATAAATATACTTAAGTTTCCAAGAACCATTAAATATTTAAACTTCCAAAATGTTGCAAGCCAATGTGAGATCAGGGTGTGGACGGCATGAGCTGATTGGGAGGTACTGGAAATTACCCAGTAGATCAAGTGATAAAGGAAGATGAGTCCTGGCCTTGATCCCACATTTTTGGCCTTTGCAGAAACGGAGCCAGTTGGTAAAGAAGCTGAATGACTCTGATCACCAGTCTAGCACTTCCCCGCTCATGGAAGGCACTCCCACCATCAAATCCAAGAAGAAGCTGCTGCAGATCATCGACACCACCCTGCTCAAGTGCTACCTCCATGTGAGTCCCTAGAGCAGGCGGTACCCACAACCCCCAGCCTGCCGAAACTGGAAAAGGGCCACCCTGGGGCACCTGCTGTCAGCAAGAGCGAAGTCTGCGATGATGGGAACCACCTAGTCTTTGCCTTGATGCCTGTGAGCTTCTTGAAATTAAGGGTTTAAGTCAAGATACTGACCAGAGTCTGACAGTGGGCTGGTCTTCTCTGGTAAGATTGGGGTTAGTGGTGTGGTGTGAACAGTGTTCCCTCAAAGGAAATATCCCCTTCCTCCCTGCCCCCCAAAACCATGAAAACACGTGAAAGGTCATAGTGCTATAAAAGCCACTCCCTGGAGTCCTGAAAAAGGGTTGTTTGCTGTCTCTGCTTTTGTTAAATCCCTGGCCTTCCTGCCTGAAGCAGGCCTTGGCGGGGAAGGGCGGGGTCTCCCGGAAGCACTTGGCTGAAGTCCTGCCTCTCTGCAGACCAACGTGGCCCTGGTGGCCCCCCTGCTGCGCCTGGAGAACAATCACTGCCACATCGAAGAGAGCGAGCACGTGCTGAAGAAGGCTCACAAGTACAGTGAGCTCATCATCCTGTACGAGAAGAAGGGGCTCCATGAGAAAGGTGACCGAGGCGGGGAGGGCAAGCCGGTGCGATGCGTCTGTGGGAGGGGCCTTGGAGGAGGCCCGTGACCTTGTTCTTGGGCTTCGTGGCCAGCCCTGCAGGTGCTGGTGGACCAGTCCAAGAAAGCAAACTCGCCGCTGAAAGGCCACGAGAGGACGGTGCAGTATCTGCAACATCTGGGTAAGTCCAGCTTTTGAAACGGGAGTCGGAAAGCGTTCACACAGACCTGACCCCCCTCCGTCTCTGATTCCAGCTGGTCAGTCCCCTCCCTCCTTGCTCCGCCAGGTGGGGGAAAAGTCCCCTGTGGTGGACCCAGGGCAGCTCCTTGGAATGTAGCCCAGCAAGCAGCCCTGAGTGACTGGTGCTTGGACAGAGCTCTTTGCTCTAGAAAATAAATCCTGGGCAACCTGGGCACCGGCCTTCCCAGTCCTGTGGGCAGGGTAGGCTTCACCTGCAGACAAGTCTTACTTTTCCTCCAGGCACAGAAAACCTGCATTTGATTTTTTCCTACTCGGTGTGGGTGCTGAGAGACTTCCCAGAGGATGGCCTGAAGGTAGGTATGCGGGGTCTTCGGATTCACCTGGCACCACAGTTGGTCCTGATTCTGGTCTGGAGATGGGTGGATGGCGGAGGAGGAAGGATTCATGCAGTTTCTCTTATGTTCAGAAGAGTGGACTGGGAAACGTGAGATGACAGTGTGGGGTAGTGGGAAGAGCTTTACACAGGCATCAGGAGACCTGCCCAGGCTGTCACGCAGTAACTGCGACAGAAGCGTGCACATTCCTGCCCCCACCCCAGAAGTCTGTCCTGGGAGCCTGCACATTTGGCAGCATGCGGTCAGGTGGTTCTGCTGCTGGAACTCGGGATTGTTTTAACAGATATTCACCGAAGACCTCCCGGAGGTGGAGTCTCTGCCCCGGGACCGAGTGCTCGGCTTCCTGGTAGAGAATTTTAAGGGCCTGGCTATTCCTTATCTGGTAAGATATTGTTTGATCTGAACTAAAAACCTTCAAACCCAGGAACCAGGCCTCATGGGTCAGCTCTTAGATCAGCGGTTCTCAACCTGTGGGTTGCGACCCCTTTGGGGGTCGAACGACCCTTTCACAGGGGTCGCCTAAAACCATCGGGAAACACATATATAATTACATATTGTTTTTGTGATTAATCACTATGTTTTAATTATGTTCAATTTGTGACAATGAAATTGGGGGTCACACAACATGAGGAACTGTATTAAAGGGTCGCGGCATTAGGAAGGTTGAGAACCACTGTAGATGATTCCGATTGCAGTTTGTGTCACGTGGGGACTAGTAGAAAGGCACAGAAGAGGGTTATTTCAACATGCTCTGCAGAGAGTGCAGTGGGCAAAGATGGGAGGGTCACTTCATTGATACTTTGTAAACCTGGGTAAAGTATAGAGGAATAAAAGAGAAGGGTGTTCGAGAAAAACATTTCACAGCCACGTTTGCACAGCCTAACTCACCATGGCTACAGGACAGTGAAATCAGTTTGAAGTACCAGAATGCAGATATTTAACCTTAACTACATGGGCTGATGTGAAGGATTATGAGACAAAATTAAGAAAGGAACTTAGACTGGAAATCAAGAGAAGAATTCCCAGTGTTGCTGGGTTGTATTGTGAACTTTCCCAGTGTTTTCAGAAGAGCTGCCCCCTCGTAGCCTTTGCAGCTTAATTAGGAAACAGTGTGGATGGGACCTATTGGGCCTTAAAAGTGTGAGGGAGACGGGGTGACTGGCTGGGTCAGAGGGTTGAGGGCACAGGCAGACCTGTGTCTCGCTTCAGGAGCACGTCATCCACGTCTGGGAGGAGACGGGCTCCAGGTTCCACAACTGCCTGATCCAGCTGTACTGTGAGAAGGTGCAAGGTCTGATGAAGGAGTACCTCCTGGCCTTCCCTGCAGGTACCAGTTCTCGTAGAAGGTCACGGGCCCCAGGATGCTGTGAGTGACGTGGGAAGCAGACCTCTCCCGGCCCCGGGTGGGCAGGAAGTTCCTCAGAGCCAGCGCAGGGAAGTGACCCAGAACGGGAGACTCAGCAGCTCGCCTGGGTCTGGGCATCTCCCCTGGGGGAGGGGGAAGGAACAATCTCTTCAAGATAAGAAACAGGTTTGCCTACCAGAGTGTTTCTCTAGGCAGTTTTTTTGTTTTTTGGGTTTTTTTCACCTCAAGCTGATGTTTGGGGGCCATGTAGAGACCATACCCTAGAGAGGCCAACTGGAAAGGACTCTGGAGGCCCTTTCTGATGATTGTGGTGACGTCAGTGAACCCCATCCCCTCGTTTTTCTTAACCCCACGCCGCTGCCCAGCAGCATCCTTTCAGGTTGAGCTTTGTTTCCCTGACAGGCCAAACTCCAGTTCCTGCTGGAGAGGAAGAGGGTGAGCTGGGAGAATATCGACGGAAGCTCCTTATGTTCTTGGAAATTTCCAGCTACTACGACCCGGGCCGGCTCATCTGTGATTTTCCTTTTGATGGTGAGGGCTGGGTTGGGTCCAGAAGCTGCTTCAGCTGACGGTAGTGCAGAAACTGACCTTTCTCTTTGCCAGCTCCCCAAGCCTCTCACAAGCTGGGCCTGGGAATAACCTCGTGTGTAGGCGAGTGCTCCTGCTGTGCTCCTTCTGAGGACTCGCTTTTGTACTGTGACTGAGGAGTCTCTTAGGGTGTGAGCCACATGCTAATTGATAGCAGGTTCAAACCTGTCTATTGCTTCATACATGTTCTTGCCCACATTCATTATTCAGCAATTGTTGTAATTTGGCATAATTTGTCTAAAAAAGACATACCCGTCTGATGTGTAAGCTCAGTGAGAACAGAGACAGGTGCTTGTTCCCCTTATTGGAAAAGCCTCGCACATGGCAGAGTTGGCTGTGGAATGGGCGAACTTGCCCGATGTGGAAGTGCTCACAAAAAGATGGGATAGAGTCCCTCCTAAAGTAGCTCCCTCCCCCTTTTAAAAATTTTAGTAATAAATCCCAAATAATAAAAGTATTTCCTCCCCGTTTAAGTTGCTCCAGTGTCCATCTCTCTAGTAGTTAGCCCTGGCCCTGTGCGGGCCTCGTGGTGGTAATGGTTACCTACGTTCCTCTTCCCCACAGGCCTCTTAGAAGAACGTGCTCTCCTGCTGGGGCGCATGGGGAAACATGAACAAGCTCTCTTCATCTATGTCCACATCCTGAAGGACACAAAGATGGCTGAGGAGTATGTTGGCCCTGCCATCCCCGCTCCCCAGGGGTCTGGAAGCAGGTCCCCCAGAGAGACCAGCGGTGTGAGAGACTAAGGGAGCCACCACCCCTCCACTCGGCCGCAGGAGGGAGAGTCGCCTGTGCTGGCCTCTCATTTTGGCTGCCTTTGGGCTGCTCGTGCAGGCGGCATCGATGACCTTTCTCTAAACGTGTCTAAGCATTTTCTCCTTTGCAGGTACTGCCACAAGCATTATGACCAAAACAAAGATGGCAACAAAGATGTAAGTAGTGGCCCTGGCCCGAGAGAGCATGCATGCCTTCCCCTGTCCCCCCTGGCCTTCCTAACGTCCTCTGGTTTGGCCGCAGGTGACAGACACTAGTGTGAATTGCTAAGACAAGATGGCGTGGGTCAGGGCACCGACTGAATTTGCCTGTACGTCTTAAGGGATTGGCGGGGTGCCATGTCCTGGTTTGCCTGGCATAGCTCTGGCTTCCATCTGTTATCATCCATGTGATGAGTGGCATCCTCGCCCCTTTACTCTCAAAAGAGTCCTGACTTGTATTATAAACAATGTGGTTAGTTAGCCTGTTGAGAAGGAACCTCAGATGTGCTCTGTCGAGACTGCACACGGACTTGTCAATGTCGGGAGACATCTTTTATTGCCATGACCGGGAGCGGTGCTTCTGGGATCTAGGAGGTAGAGGCCAGAGTTGCTGCTAAGCGGGACAGCCCAGCGAAGAATTATCTGGCCCAAATGTGAAGTGCTGAGTTGAGAAGTCCTGTGGCACTGGTGCCAGTAGGAAGTGCAGATCTTACCTTGGCTTAATCCAGGGGTCCTCAGACTTTTTAAACGGGGCCAGTTCACTGTCCCTCAGACGGTTGGAGGGCCGGACTATAGTTTAAAAAAAAAACTATGAACAAATTTCTATGCACACTGCACATATCTTATTTTGAAGTAAAAAACAAAACGGGAACAAATACAATATTTGTATTTGTATGTGGCCCGTGGGCCATAGTTTGAGGACCCCTGGCTTAATCCTTGCCTGCCAAAACATGACAGGGTCTCGGCCTTCAAAGCCAAAGGAAATGAGGGAGTGCGTTGTGTCATTTCGTCATGCTGGCATTCTGACAGTGGTTAACAAGCAAGGGAAACCACAATCCTTAAATCTTTACACCTTCAGTTGACTCTGAATTTACCAAAATCTTTTAAAAGGTGAAAATGATGAGTTTTAAGTGCTCCATGACAGCTGTTACTGTAGACCATCCCTCTTACTGGGCGTTCTGGGGGGGGCTGCCAGCCTAACCTGCGTGCCTGTACCTGTGTGAGACAGGTGTATCTGTCCCTGCTCCGGATGTACCTGTCGCCCCCCAGCGTTCACTGTCTGGGGCCCATCAAGCTGGAACTGCTGGAGCCCCAAGCCAACCTCCAGGCTGCCCTGCAGGTCCTCGAGCTGCACCACAGCAAACTGGACACCACCAAGGTCAGCTCTTCTCAGGGGGATGGAGGGCGCTTGCAGGGAGCACGGAATGGAAAGGGGTGGAGAAACGGCCTGGGATTCTCCAGCTCTGGGGCTTCAGCCACTCCCTCAGTCTCACTCCTGTCCTGCCTCTCTCTTTCCCATCTGTTCCCATCTGTTCCCATCCTTAGGCCCTCAACCTCCTGCCAGCGAATACTCAGATTAACGAGATACGCATCTTCCTGGAAAAGGTCTTGGAAGGAAATGCGCAAAAGAAACGGTTCAATCAAGTGCTCAAGAACCTTCTCCATGCAGAGTTCCTGCGGGTATGCGCCTGGCAAACCCTCGGGTGGGCTAGTACTTTCTATTATGAGACAGTTACCACGTATTCCTTAGGACAAAAGCAGACCTTAACCAAGTGTTCCCATTAGAGCAGTGGTTCTCAACCTTGGCTGCACATTAGAATCACCTGGGAATCTTTGTAAAATCCTGATTTCTGGGCCCCATCCTCCGGGAAATTCTGTTTCTTTGTTACTAATGTTGTGGCCTCACCCCATAACAAAGAAACAGAATTTCCAGAGGATGAGGCCCAGAAATCAGGATTTTAAAAAGATTCCCAGGTGATTCTAATGTGCAGCCAAGGTTGAGAACCACTGCATTAGAGGGATCTTTGCGGGTAGACCATGGTACTCCTCCCCAATCTCTCTGCCCTCCCAGGTACAGGAAGAGCGGATTTTACACCAGCAGGTGAAGTGCATCATCACGGAGGAGAAGGTGTGCATGGTGTGTAAGAAGAAGATTGGGAACAGGTGAGCCTGCTCGCACCTCTGCAGGGTCTGCTCTGGGTGGGCCACACTCTGCCCTCTAACCCGAGGGGAGAGCACAGGTGCTGACCATCTGGGCACGTTTAGCTCCTGAGGCCCGAGGGGACAGTCCTCACTGTCAGGAGTGAGCTTTGAGGATTTAAAAGCCTGGAATGTATGGCTGGGGCTGTTGACTTCTTGCCCATAAAGTCCCTCCCTTCTGGCAGCTAGAAATTGTGATGTAGCCAGTGGGTGTGAGAGTTGTATATGGGGAGGGGGTCCTTATCTTTTAGGGATGCACCTTTGAAGGAAGAAAAAGATCTTTCAACCTGCTGCCTCAGGATTTGAGTAAAATCCTGAGCCAGGATATACTGTTTTAAGGCATATACTCTAGTCGATCCCCTTTCCCTCAAAGGAGAGTAATTTTCCTTTTTCTTACATGGGAGAATTCTTTTCTTTAAAAAGACCTAACTCTGTCCTTTGTTAGAATTAGCCCGAGACTTGTTCTGAAGAGCATCGTTGCCTCTCAGTAAGCCGGTGCCAAGCCAGGCCGGCGCACGGCCCTATTCAGTCGTGTTTCACGTTGATGACTTAACAAGAACCTTCATGTACTCGAACTCCATGGACCTCATCCTCTGTTTAGTTATTGGACAGAGATGATGGCTATGTAAATCCAGAGACACTGGGACAGGCTGCTCTTTGTGGTGAGGGCGGGCTGCTGGGATGGCTCCCGGGTAAGTGCCTGTCCTAGGTAAGAAGCGGCCTCTATAGGCAGTCACTCCCAAGTCATTTGTCTTCCCTGCAGCGCATTTGCGAGGTACCCCAATGGAGTGGTGGTGCACTACTTCTGTTCCAAAGAGGTGAACCCGGCGGACACCTGAGCTCAGCGTGCCCAGGACTCGGCAGATGGACAGCTTGGCCACCCCAGAGAGGGAAGCAGGTGCCGCCGTAGGAGTCGGGGCTGCTGCCGCCACAGGTGTCTCCCCATTTGGACACGTTGGCTACCTTGCGCCCTGGAGCATCTCTGAATTAATCAGACTTGTGGTCTGGTGCCGTCAGCTTTTTAATAGAAAAAGATTAGATAAACTTTATAAACCAGGATGCTGCAGGCAGTTCCAGGGAATTTAATGCCTGCTTGGACTGGAGGAGGTGGTGACGGGCAGGCACCGTCTTGCCTTTGCATACCAATCACCTGAGTCAGGAAACTGCCTCCAGCTTTTGCAACCCCAGTATCAAGTCGCATGCAGGACTTCACAAGGAGCCCTTAGCATGGCCGGCGGAGTCCGTGAGAAGAGAGCAAACCAAGAGCTCCTCTGCCTGCCGAGGCCAGACACTCCTTCTCTAGGTCACTTCTCCATGGTCACCGTGCCGTGTCCCCCAGGAGGCTCCCACTCCCGCCTTCCTTTTCCCATGTCCTTTTCTTTTGTGTGTCTCCCCTCACTGCTCCACTCTCTTGCCCACTTTCCCGACACCAGGAATAACTAATATGTAAGCAAGGCAAAGTGAGAAGCAAGGGGAAGTCCACTTTCCAGGGCTACACTGATACTTGACGGTGAGGTGTATAGTGAATAGGTCCTCCTTGGACTGTACGCTCGGCCTGGAAGCTGAGCAGAGCGTCGTTCTCGGCCTAGGAAAGGGCCTGTGCACCTCCCTGAGGGCCGAGTGTGGCGGTAGCTCTAGGGATGGACAGCACTGCACAGGGTGAACGACCTCTTAGGCTGCCATCGGCTGAGGCTCCTGCTTCTGTTCACCCATCCAGGCAGGTTAGTTTAGTCTTTGTGAGTGAGCGCTCTGTGCTTGGGCGCCTCTCTTTCCAGCCACTGTGACCCACTTACAGCATGGCCTGGCCGCCATTCTCCAGCCTGGTTTTGCAGAGGTTGGAGGGCTGCACTGGGATGTCATAGGTACACACAGGAATAACCAGACCAGGCACTGACAGTGACGTGGGGTCAGACATACTTGTGAGGTGCTCGGGGACTGCGAGAGTGCTGCAGACGGCATGAACTATCACCGCCAGACCCACTGAGCACTTGTGTGGGGGGAGACCCTGGCTCCCAGAGGCACCAGGAGTGTCTGGCACTGCAGGCGGAGGACACGCGGGAGAGGGCTGCACCTTGTCCTCCCTGGGGTTTTGCGGTGTCTGAAATGGTAGTGAGGGTGAGTGACGGTGCCCAGCACTGACCCCCGCGGGGTCTGTCCTTTACCACTGTGCTGTTCGGGGCCTGTGCTGCAGACCGACTTGCTGGTGGTGTAGACTAGGCTTCTCCCAGCACGTGCTCTGTGGAGGGTCTGAAGGGACAGCGAGTACCGGTGGCACCTTCACAGAGATGGAGGATTCTGCTGGGTTTTGGAGGCCGAGCAGCACTTCACAAGAGCCACTGTCCCAACTGGCCATGCCCGCCCACAGGAAGCAGTGCTGCCTTGGCCGTTAGCGAAGACCAGCCTCCTCCAGGAGCAGCGGTGACATCGCAGGCCCGCCCTCCACTGTGTGGCAGAAACTGTTCCCACACGTGAGCCCCGCCTCCCAGGTCTGCTGTTTCTGTGTCTTCCATTCCCACCGCCTGTGGGGCACATCTCTTTGAAGCACTAGAACAAAGAATGTGTGTTTTCTCTCCTGCTGGATACTTAAAGGGCCCAGTTTTCCCGGACTCCAGTCTTCCTTCCCTAGACTGTCTGTGCGCTCTGCGGTGGTGTGGAAAAGGCTGGCAATGAAAGCTCTGTAATGAGGACTGATGAAGGTCTCGCATAATAAACATCATAAAGTAACTAACCAAGCCTATCTGCGTCTCTTTTTCCCCCCTTCCTGTGGAGTTTGATGAAAATAATGAGGATCATAATTTAGCTAAGAATTGAGAAGAGTAAGCCCATTAGTGACCATGGAAAAAGGTCTGTTATGTGTCTCGATCTGTGCCATCCAGGACCGCAGAGCAGCAGATGGATCGACAGCACAGATGGGGCACGTTTCCAGCATCACAGTCTGCTGGACACACTGGCACCTAGTGAATCCCAGGGCTTCATGCCTCTTCCTGCAGCTCATAATGACTGGGAAGGCCATGGAAGCTGTGGAATTGGTAGGATTGACAGACCCCGTGATGCTTGAGAAGTGGAGACGTGTTGGTCCACTTTGGCCAGTTCCAAAGAGATCATTCGATCCTTTATTCCCCCACGCGAGCCTTTCGTGGCCATTCTGAGCTTTCTCTGGGAATGATGGAACTAAGAGGCATAACTTGCCTGAGGCACGGGCAGATGAACCCAGGAGAGTTGTACAGCCCAGAAAGCACTCCAGTCAATCAGGCTATCTGCGCCAGGCCGGCGTGCTTCACACCCCTCCCTCAGGCTCCTCTGGATCCCAGCCTTCTGTATGCTGCCGTACAGGTCACCATGGGGTTGGGCTCTAGCATTCCTGAGACCCCAGCACAGGTCTAGGCTTCATGCTCCAAATTGAGTAAACAGTCCCTCCCCTTGAGGTCCTGGGTGTTTCTGGTCTGAATTTGCTTACAGGGTTTGTTTTAAAGTTGAATCATCTGTTTGTTTTTCTCAGTCTCCACCTCCTCCACCTCGGGGTTTGGGGAGAGGAGTGGATGGAGATGACTGGGTCTTGGTTGAGGAACAGACATGTATCTTCCAACAGAGATGCTTTCTCCTGGAGCTGTGCCTTGTCTTGGCCACCTGGATGGTCAAGGTCCACAGAAAAGGGGATTATCACATGCCATCTGTAGCCTAAGGTATGGGGCGCGGCTACAGTATTTTGGACAGGTTCAAGCCTCGGACTAATGAGGGGCACAGTCCTCTCGTGGCCACATGCAAGTCCCAGCTGGAGGGCAGAGCCCTCCCAGCACAAATACAGCCAACAGCTATAGCTGGGTCCGAACATGTGGCTCCACGTGCTGTGTGATAGAGTTCAGGGGCATGTAGTTGAGTAGGGTTGAAACTCACGAGAATGCTGTAAACAACTTGATCACGCCCCTACTTTGCCTCGTGGCATCTGCTATAAAATAAAGACACGGCTTGTTGGCGCTAGCGCTGTCTCATCAGGGAGCAGCGTCCCACCGAGACCCAGCTTTCATTCTCTTGTCCGTCTTTTCTTAATCCTTTCATCACCCCCACTCAGGATCACCCTTGGCCGTGCTGGCGCGGCACACTAAGGTTTGTGTTGGTCAACAGCGGACCTTAAAGCCTTTATCTCCAGTAGTTTAAGGACTGGCAGGCCTGCTTTTTACCTGCCCTTACTGATACCCTTCCTCTAACCTGGACCAGCTAGATATTTCCACTGATGCAGAAAGAGAGCCTGGGCAGAAGCCACAGGGAGTCATGAGGTTGTGAATGTCTTCAGGATATGGGTGGGCCCGCCTTACCTTTGGGTCTAAGGCGTGGTGCAGGTCCTGCACTTGGCAGCTTCTCTTTGGAGAACAAATGAGGGTGTCCAGGAGAGATTAGAAATACCTGAGCCAAATGAAACACTGAACCAGGAACTTGAAAGGTATTGGTTTTAGGCTTTTTCTGATAGAGGAGACTGGCCTCCTGATGCAGCACCTCTTGGCAGCTGTTCCTTCATCAAATCAAACCATGGGGAGTGGTGGGGTGGGGCTCAGGAATCTATTTTACACAAGCAGCCCAATGATAACCGGGGTCTGGATTGGGAACCAGATTGCCTCCTGCCTAGAGAAATTGGTCACTTCCTGGAGCCGGTCAAACCCCGCCTCCAGCCCCAGGGCCCTCCCCACCCCAGTGCTACCTGTCAGACCTGAGCTAGCAGTGATCCTGTGCAGAAGCGAGGAGGGTGGCTCTGGAAAGCAGACGGCTTCTTGCTGGGAAGTGGGCTGCCTGGCCATGCTCTGGGCGCCCTGGCCAAGGGGGCTGGCAAGCAAGGGGCTGCCTCTCCTGGGGGTAGTGCTGCTGCGAAAAAGAGAGAAGAGGGGACCTCAGTGGAGTCACTGCCGGGTAAAGTACCTGCTCTTCCCTGGGAAACGTGGACTGGAGGGGTCCTGGGAGTGCAGTCCCCTGTGAAGACAGGCCAGCCCAGCGACTGGGTTTGGATCTGGGTGGGACCAATTTCCTCCAGACAACCTGGGGGAGTTTAAATTAGAGAGGTTGGCCAAGACCTTGGCTCTTGAAAATAATCCCTTCAATTAGGAATGGAGGGCTAGGGCATGTGACCCTTTGGCTGGGTCTGGCCCAGAATGCCTAGTCTGGCTGTTGGGTTTTGAGGAGATAGACTCCAAGGAGTTGCAGTCTGTTGCTATGTCTCCTGAGCCCAAGCTGCAGTCTCCTTAGCAACTGGTCTGACCTGCACCAGCTGAGTGATTTTTGGTTTCCCTTCACCTGCCCAGCCTCCTCGGCCATTCAGCCCTCGTCAGGGAGCTAGTGGGTGGGATTGATCACATTTTCTAATATTTAATCTCCTTAAGCACCTCACAGCACCTCTCCAGCTACAGCAGTGGCACTGCGGTCTGAGGGGAGTGCAGGTGTATGGTGCATGATAACTAATAATTAGCAAAAATGGCTACATGTATTAAGCCAGGGGTGGGCAAACTTTTTGACTCGAGGGCCACAATGGGTTCTTAAACTGGACCGGAGGGCCGGAACAAAAGCATGGATGGAGTGTTTGTGTGAACTAATATAAATTCAAAGTAAACATCGTTACATAAAAGGGTATGGTCTTTTTTTTTTTTTTTAGTTTTATTCATTTCAAACGGGCCGGATCCGGCCCGCGGGCCGTAGTTTGCCCACGGCTGTATTAAGCACTTAGGCCAAGCACTTTACATGACTTCTTATTGAAAGCTCACCACAACCGTATGA